TTAAGAATGAAACAAGCAATAAATTCTTTAAGCAATATAATAGTCCACTAATATTAGCACTCAGATTAAATATGAAAATTGAAATGAATTTTAAATAAAAGAAAAATTTAGTTGATCATGACAATTCTGAGGTCATGATAAACTTCTTTATTTTTCATTACTAATGCTTATGCATTCTTTGTCAACTCTGATAAATAAAGAATTCTAAACGGCTTCATCTGTTAAACATTCATTGACATAATCTCCCTTTAATAACAGTTGGAGTTTCAGATTAATTTTATTCGGATATTTTATACTTTTTGCATAATATAATGCTTTCGGGAAAACGAACACAAACCTTATTATACAAACAATTGTTGCTAAATAACATTTATTTGTCGGCAGACACAAGCGACACTGTACTCACAAATAAGAGTATAACAAAGTAACTGTGATGTGGGTGTCGGGACATTAGAGCATAAACAGAAATGAGAAAGCTAATGGTCTCGCTAAGAGAGGAGCGGCAACCACTTTTATTGGGCCAGAGACACCAAAAACAGTGGAGTACTCATTATATGAATGCAAGGCGGTGGTTCGCCTACGCCTGAGACGCGTCGAAAGTGGCTTTATTATTCCGATGGAAGTCCCGCGGATTTAGATGGCTGCTATACTGAAATTTATCGCTTAGATATAGTGCTGGTATAAGTTAGAATGGGAGTCACAAAAGATCCTATGGTTAGAAGTGAGAAGGACCTAAGAGCCTCGGTCCCCTTAAGAATATAATCAATCATCTTTCAAATCCAATGAGCAATTTCATAATACATCCTATTTACCTTTCGCAAATAAAATTTCAAAATTAGTCATTATTTTGTATTATAGCATTTAATTTTCTACAAAATGCTCATGCATCAATAAAAATAATAAAAAAAAAACATTAACAAAAATTCTCGGCTAAACAACAAAGAATTTTTGTCTCGGTTCTTATTTACTAATCCAATTAGTTCTTGATTTTTTTTTTTATTGCTTTTTAATTTCATATAAAAAATGTTTTATATATTTTTCGTGTTTATTATATTGCAATGGTATTAAAACAATAATTGGTACATATACAAGTGTAAAAAAACAAATACAATCTGAAATACAAATATTGCCTGCACACTAGCAAACTCCCGTGTCTTCAAATCTAGCTGAATTTAATAATATTATGACAACGATTTCGGAAACAAAGTCTTTGGTTCTGACAAAGTCTTGTATATGTGTACGATGTAAAACCAAACCGAAGTTATGACTATTGAAATTGCGCGAAACCACTTACCCCATTTAATAATATCAGATTAAAGTTCGTTTTTGTAATCCCCCAAAACTACAATTTATTTACTAAATGTTATTTTGAGGATGCAATATTAAATAATCCATTCTAAAGTACACAAGATTTCTGTCTAAAAAAAAATAAAAAATTTAATTTTTGCTTTAATAACAAAATTTTACCTAATTTTAATTTTATTTTCAATGAAAAATCATAATAAACGCATTAAAAAAATAAAAAAAAATTTAGGCAGAAGAAAATTTTATGAGAATTGTAAATTTGGCGTTAAAAATTAGCATGAAAATTTATCGATCTGGAAAATTTTGCAGATCATTTTGTTAATTATTGTAAAATTTTGATTATTCAACATAATTTTTTTTTTAATTAATTGATTAAATGCAAACATAAGAATTTCCGTTATTTAAAATTTGATAATTTCCGTTATTCTAGAGAAGGAAGTGATTTTTCATTCAATGTTTGCCTATGTAATTTTTTAAATTTTAAATTCATAAAAACTTGAAAAAATTTACATTTGACCATTATGTTGCAATTATTTTTAATTATTAAATTCAAATTCTTATAAGTATATGGTAAATTGCGACGGCGCAGTGCTAACACTCAGGTGCGGTAAAATTTTTAAACAGAAAATTAACTTTTCTGAACTTTCCCTTTTGTACTAATTTATTGTTTTCTTTATTAAATATTTAATCTATATTATGCATATATTAATAAATATAAAATAAATATTGTAGCAAAATTGTATAAATATAATGTTTGTCATTCATTAATATTTAATTAAAGTAATAGCATTTTAAATTAAATATATTTTTATTCAAATCATTTCAAAATCTCTTTACCTTTCCAATAAAATCAAAAGTTCTTATATTTAAAAAAAATTAAAATTACTTCAAAATTTTTTAATAAGTACGCTAACCGTTCAATACGATCAATTGTCCAAAAAAAAAACACATAAGCTGATCTACAAAAATATTCTTATCGCAGATTATTTCATAATCAAATATTTAAAAAACAAAAAAAAACATTATTGTATACCGAAATTTAATCTCAATATTTAAGAACAGAAAATTAAGAACTCTCATTATTTTGTATCGATTTTTTGGTTGAATTAATTTAAACTAGGTAAAATCCCATTTTTCATCTTATAGTCTAATTCATTTATTGTTCCTGATCACAAATATTACAGCTTTTAAATTTGACTTTGATCACATTCTAATATATTCTAGCCTACCTCACTAAATGTTAAGCCAAATTTCAATTAATTAAAATTAAATACCTTTTATATATAGGCTAAACTCTGTAGATTATAATTTTATCATAATTTGATTGATTACAAGTTTCAATTACACAAATATTTGTAACTAAGTACATATGAAATACAAAAAAAAATATTTAAGTACTTAAGTACTTTTATAATATTTACAAAGTGTTAAGATTATGAAAATTTTTCAATTTTATATGACGGCGTTTTATTCTAAGTACCTTTTGAAAAATTTAAGAGTTTCCTTATTACTATATACATATGTACAATATTTAAGCTTAATTGATTTCATTTTTATTTAATAAAAATATAATCATATGGCGCTTAATTGTATATGTATATTTAGATTTTGCAGTAGAGACTTTAATTATGGTGAATTCAATAATTATTTTTAGGAACTATAAGAGTAACGAGAGTTAAGACTTCTTTAATTTATATTTAAAAATATGATATGTTTAGAAAATTTACGTTTTAATTATGTATATAGACTTTTGAAAATTGCATTCACATTGGAAAATCCGATATATGTTGGGAAAACGTGATAAACTAAATCAATTTTTTCTCGTTAATTATACAAATATTCAATGGTCAAGAAATTTTAAGATATGCACACCCATTTGGATAGAACTAAGTACTTGTTTTAAAGTTAAGATAAAATTTATAAATGAACTAGTATTTAAAATAGTCAAAAAAAAAAGCACATATTACAATTATCTGGTAGAGTAATTAAATGTTTTTACACTGATAAGAAATTGGAAAAAAAATATTAAAAGATAAGTTTATTTACTTTCATTAAATTTAAAAACCGCAAACGAACAAATTATGACTCATCGATTTATTACTACATGTTATAAAATTAATATAGCAATTTATTTTAATAATTAAGCTTATTTTTTATGGCTGATAACAAGCATAAATAATTTGTAATTTCATTTTCATAATATATGTAGAAATTTATAAACACTCAAAACATTTAATAAAACTCTTATAATTTGTAATAAATATCTTGTGTTATCAAAATTATGAAATAATCATAAAAAAATTTTAATAAGACGTATTCTTGATTTTATGTACCTCTAATTTATCATATACTTATATATTAAGAACAACGATTCTATAACAGGATTCAACTTCAAAGTGTTATAGGAATTGAGTTTGTTATGATTGTTTATTTATTTAACTAATTCTATTAATCTTGTACATCAAGACTTGATTTCACAATATGGGGTGGTTTTTTTGCATCCTCTTCCAATATATAATATTATCTCCCAGTATATAAATCTAAAATTAATAAGCTTAAAATATTTTGAAATATAATAAAAATTCTTTTTGTTAAGTAGGTATACCAAAAGAATCTAACAATTCCTAAATCCAATATAAAAGCATTGTGAATACAACAAATAATTTTTATTTTATGATAAACTTTATATAACATAAATTTTAATAATTTGGCATATTTTCCAATTATACACATATTTAACATTATTTTGTATTATAATTAATCTAATCAAACTAAATTTTATATAAAATATAAAGAAAATATTGCTTTGTATTAGCTACCTGAAATTCTTTAAGAATTTGATTACTTTAAGAAAATAAATTCTTAATTATTACTTTCAAGTTTTTTTTATAATACTTTGATCACTTTTAATCTAAAGTACCTAGTTCAAATTGGAAATATAATACTAATAAAATTTAATTGAGTCTACATTCAAATCAATCAAAAACAATTTGACTAAAAAACATACATAATCTTTAAGTAATTAATTCCTCTATAAATAAATAATGTTTTAAGATTGGATATAGGAATTCAAGTTTTATAAACAATTAAACATTTTGTCCACTTCTTATGTACATATGTATGTATCAATCAATTCATAATCACCATTACTTTTTAAGTAAGAAATTTTTGTCCAATATTACAGATGTGCTACTAAACACTTCCATTAATACATAACAGATTATGTGAGTTGATAGGAACTCATTTAACAATGAGATTCGTTAAGAATATCCTAATAATATCCATGTGAATCTAAAATATAAAATAATTATGAACATATACATACTTATGTGATTTTCAAAAGACAGAATTTTCAAAATTATTACAATATTACTCGTATACATTTTGTACTCTGACGTCTTTAAATCAGAAATTTTCAAAATTTTTTAATTATTTTAGTAGAAATTTTGTATTTAACCAAATTTTAATGTTTGATTTTTATTTCTTCTCACTTCCAGGTACTCTTTAAAGAAAATATGTTATCCAAATACTGAAATAAACGAATAACTGCCAACTGGATGTACGACGAAATCTTCAAGTGCTTACTGAATCAAACTTCATTTCACATTTTAAATTCTACAAGTCCGCAGAAAAAATAAAATCCAAAATATTTAATTGCATTTATTTTATTTGTTAAAAGATACGAATTTCATATATAAATATTTTTGACAACCGAATTATTTGACATCTGTACAAAACAAACAAAATAAAAGGACGCACATTAAGAGAAGCAAAAAAAAAAATAAACAACAACAAAAAAAATGGTACTTCCATTCGGTTTAGGTTCAGATGGCAGCACAAATCGTGCCCAAATACCATCAGCGCCACCAATGGATGCTGGTGCTTTAATGAATTACACACGTTATATTGATTTTATTGTTGTTAATGGGGATGATCGTTATATGATACGTACAGAACGAAACGTTGTTCTAGAATCAAGTGTTGAATTAGCAAAAATAATTAATGCTGGACCAAAAGGTAGTCGTCTTAACGATAATCATTTTCAAGTTCATAATGTTGATAAACATGATTTTGAATTGTTAGTAAGATTTTTAGAAACAAAATTTATCAAATATCGTGATCATAAACATATTTTGCGAATATTAGAATTAGCTGATCGTTATAATTGTCCAGATTTAATTATACATTGTGCAAAAGAATTAGATTTACAATTAACTAGTGCAATTGTATTAGATATATTCCGTTCATTATGGTATTATAATCGTGCACCAACAGCGAATTGTAATGTTATTACAACACAACAACAAAAAGATCCTCAACAACAAAATCCAGATAAACCACCAAAAACGAAAAAATTAGATAAACCACATCCATTTACACCTGAAGAACATTTGGCAGCTTTATTACATAATTGCTTACAATTAATTGATATGCATGCTGAATTGATTTTAACAAAACCAGAAATATGTGATTTAAGATTTGAAGAATTAGAGGTTATAGCAAAACGTGATGCATTACAAATACAATCCGAAATAACATTATTTGTATGTTTAGCTGATTGGAGTATTGAAGAATGTAAAAGGAAACGTTTAGAGTTAACAGCTGAAAATCGACGACGTGTTTTGGGTCCATTATGTTATACACCAAGATATTTAACAATGAGCTCTAGAGATTTTCGTAAAGCATGTGATCGTGTTGAATTATTGGATAATGTTGAAATTACTTTAGTATTAGACGCTTTAGATGGTAAAAGATCAAATAATTTAACACAAGAACAATTAAATATGTTGGAAAAATTTAAAACACCTAGACCACCATATCCAAAAATGCCAATACATTTAAGTGATAGATCAAATCCAAGAACTTATCCGAAAAAAATGAGAAAATATGCAGAAAAAGGTGAAAAAAATGGATGTTGGGATACATTCACTTTAAATTGTTTAACAGTAGTCGCGTTTATATTTGACTGAACAATTTATAATAAAAAAATAATAAAATAATTAACATTTAGAAGAACAAATCAACAAAAAGTATAAAATAGGATCAATTTATATTTTACAGGATATGCAATAATCATTACTATAATTATTATACATACATAAATTATTTAGCATGATTAATGATAAAATATTAGGAAAATTATATTTTAAAATATTTTATGATCTATTTCTTTTTATGAAATATTGAAAATTTGACGAATATTATATTAACATATAAAAAAATATATATATATTGTATGATCTTTGTAGGGGTAATTTATTAATTATCAAAGATTTATAGTGTAATTCGGTTAATCGTTGTTAAAAATTAATGAAGGATAATTCTTAATAAAATAGAAAACAAGCTAAACCAAAAAATTTTATATACTTACCAAAAATGTTGAAATCTTATTACATAATGATGTTTGGATTTAATTCCAGTAATAAGAAAAGATTTTTATTTATATTTAAAGAAAAATTGTAATATCTTTTTAAAATAATTGTAATTCCGAAATAATTTGAAATAACAAGTTTAACATTTAAAATTTTTCACCTCCAATTTTCTAGTAATATAGTCATGTCTTAGTTTATATACGAAAATCTTTACATTTGCAAAATAATTTTTAATTTTGTTCTTAATATTTTAAAATTTTATAAATTTATAAATAATTTTTACATAATTATGATGATTATAAATTTAATCTTGAAAAAGAATTTTGATAAAGAATGATTTTGAAACATTTTGTTTGAATTGAACAAATTACAACAGGCTTTTTAGAATAAATAATTCGAAGGGATTACAAATTTATAAAATTAAATATATTTACATTTTTGACTCAACATTTTGAACAAGACCGCATTTTAAAATTTCCCACTAAAAATTAACTTATCATCGAAGATTCAAAACGTTCGGGAGAAGATATATAATTTTTCTTAAAAGATTAAGACTAAAAATTCATAATCATCATAATGTTAAAAAATGTAATGTAAATGTAATTTATATGTAAAATAATTTGATTCTCCATATTTAATTTATTCATATTTTAATTTCTCCAACAAATATATATTATTAAAAAAAATTAAGGAAATAAATTTAGAAGAAAAATTTAACCTTAAAATTATAAATCAGATTACAAATTATAGATTATTGATTATAGAAAAATTATATTTACATGAGTAATTTAAAGAAATAAAAAATATAAAATTATGTATATTTAAATTTCAAAGGGAGATATTAAATGCAAAATGTTGTAATTGTAATTCTTTTTATAAAAAAGAAAATAATTACATCAATATTAACACGATAATATTTTATTAAATTAATTAACAATTTTAACCCTATGTTCAATGAAATTAATATCTTTTCTTTTCTTTATCTACAGCTATAATCTCCTATATTTTTATTTCAAAATTTAAATTGAATTTTTTAATAATTAAAATTTAATAAATGTTTATGTTGAATTATTTAAAATGCTCGAAATTAGTATAATTTAGAATAATGTATTCTATGTAGAAAATAAAAAATTTTAAAAAAATAATTATAATATGATATTAAAAAATATTGATTATGTAGATTTTGTAGGAACAGAAATGTATGTATAGTGAAAAAGCACAAATTTTTATATAAAATTAAATATATACGAATAAATTATTAAATATAGATGGTAAAATTGGTATAATATTAATATATTTAAAAAAAAACAAAAATTTTTAGAGCAAAAAATCCAGAAAATAGAATTTATCAGAAATAAAATTAATGAATTTTTTAATTATATTAAAAATTATATAAATCAGAAGAACAATTATTAAATATTTATTGAAAATAATAAAAAATCTATTGAAATTTGTGTAAAATTCTTTCTGATTTTGCGAAAAGCATAGATGAATGGAAAGATTATTATAAAAATTTTCTTTTTAAATTTTAATTTAAGTATTTATTGTAGTATTTAATGATGTTTTTAAATGTTAATTAAAAAAATTTTTATGTGCTTAAAAACAAATATATAAAAAAAAAACAAATAATATAAATAATAATATATTGCTATTTTTAATGACAGTATTTCACTTAATTTTTTAAGTGTTTTAATATTTTCTGATATAGTTTTGAATCAGCATTAATCAAAAAACTAATTATTTATTTAAAAAACAAAAAATTATTCAAAATTTATAAAAAATTAACGATTGCTACTTTTCTTAACACGGAAAATATTTAATTAATAATATTATAAAGTAATCAATTTTTAATATTATATTTCAAAATATTTATTTTATATTATTTAATTTAAAATGCAAAAAAAAAAATATAATATGTTCAATTAATAAATATAACTTTGAATGAACTGATATATTAGGAAAAGAAAAATTATAAGAATTTTAAAAGTATAAATGAAAAGCAGCTAGTATTCTACATAGTCAAATTTAAAAAATAGAAATCTAGATTTTTTCTCTTTGAAATTAATATTATTGTTATTTAAATTATATTTTGTATAAGAGAATCATTTGTATGAAAAAACACAATTTTTTATATTTATTTTTTTAAAGAAAATGTATTCCAAAAGATGAACAAATATCTAAATTTTAAATTAGTGCACAAAATCGAGTTGCAAGCAAAAAAAAAATTTAGAATTATTCAAAATATATTTAATAAATAGAAAAATATGCTATTGAATATTTAAATATTTACTTATTATGCTAAATATCACAACCACACGCATATTGTAAATTTAATAAGTAATATGTAATAAAGCAGTTGGTGAATAGCTCAAAAATTATTCTTAATTCTTGCAGAATAAAGTGATTTTGTAAATCAAACAAGTCATAGTGTAGCGATTCCTAATTTGTAATATTAAAAATAAAAATAAATGCATTACCTTACGCACTAAATTATATAAAAAGAAATTCTTTAATTACAATTTTTCATTTCCTACTGCTTTGTGAATTTAAAATAAAGATGTAAAGTTTTGTTAAAAATAATTTTTTTATAATAAATTAGTTTATTAAAAAAAAAACAAGAATAAGATGCAATCGAAAATTATAAAAAAAAATCGTATTCTTTATTCTATTTTATGATCACACATAATTATTTGCATTTATAATTTAAAAATTTTGTATTTGCTTTTGCCAGAATGTTATATCGTATATTGAGATAAAATTAAAAATACTTTATTATATTAATGTTGTATAATTTTACAAATATTTAAAGACTTATTAGAGTTTATGTTAATAAAATTTAGAAATAAATAAGTTGAAAATAAATTATTAAAGTTTTATTCTGTCTTTTAATTTGTTTTAAAATTCTTTTAAGGACTGAAATAGTACTACGAAGTACTAAATGATTTTAATAAAAGTTAAAAAATAAGTTTTTTTTTCATATTATTTTCAAAGATTTATTCCAAATAATAAATTATAAAATACGATATTAATTCCATTCTAATACAAAAAATTGTACGTTTATTAAAATTATTTTAAATGATAATGATTAATCTTAATTAACATCGTAATAAATTTAACACTGAACCACTTGTCCTTTAATTAGACTAACTTTAAATTGTGCTTTTGTAGTATTTTCAGGATGTAAAGCACAAGAATCGGCATGTGTTCTCCAATGTGCTTTTAAACTTGAAATACAAGAAAATCTTTCTGTACATCCACTGCACATGTAACGTCTTAATCCTGTATGTAGTGAAAAGTGATTGATCATATTATTTCTGTGAGCAAAGGCGGCAGTACATCCAGCATATGTACATTTAAATGGTTTTTCACCAGTATGAACCATTTCATGTTGCTGGCATTGATATTTATTACGAAATCCTTTATTACAAAACTTACAAAAAGCAGTTAGTTCCCCAGTGTGTATTTTTGTATGCTCTTTTAAAATACCAGCAGTTGAAAATTTTTTCAAGCAAATTTTACACTCATATAAATAATCTTGCCCACAATTCGAACGCTCATGATCCCTAAGAAGACATTTCTTTACAAGTTTGCCACACTTAGTACAAGTTATAGTTGGCTCTGGAGGATTAGGCTTATTTTTGTGAATCCGTAGGATATGTTCTTTAAATGAACTTTTTAATTTAAATGTTTTATTACATTCTTTGCATTTTAGATCATTGTGGTCGTTGCATACATGCTGCTTCAGTTCTTCTTTACTGCGGAAAAAGCACTGACCATAACAGTCGTGACATGGTATAGTCAAACTTTTATCTTCACCATGTAATTTATAATGTTTTTCGAAAGATAATTTTCCTGTGAATTTTTTATTGCATATATCACAATCTAAACTTGGTCCTTTTTCTTCAATTGTCGCCAACACAACAAAAATTTCTTCTTCACTTTTTTGGTGAATTCGTTTTAAATGTTTCTTAAGAGAGTATTTTCTATAAACAGTGCTATCACAATACGGACATTTTATCAAATCGGTTTTTTTTCGAAGAGGAATAGGTCTCGAACTTTTTAAAGTTTTTCGTCGACCTCGTTTTTTCTTCATAGGTTCAACTACAGTATTAAGATGCGCACCATTTAATCTCTCACTCCTTCTCCTAAACTCCGTCAGCACAGTTTTTGAATTTTTTTTCAAAATTACCTTGTTCTTATTATCACATTTGGCAGCTAGGGACTCACCGTTAATAGCTTTTGGGTTCTTGATTAATTGGAAAGTATCATTTTTAGAATCGTTATTCCTACCATTATCTATGGGATATTCAGTAAGACTTTTATCGTTTATATCACTTGGATAATCTTCTTTGGTTTCATCCTCACTAAAAACATTTTCATCACAACTACTATAGTTCTTACATTCATCTTTTATATGTACTTCTTCATCTTTAAACAAATCATTTAAGACACTAGTCAGAACTCTACCTTCCCTTTGATTTGATCTAAAAGTTATAAATATTAGAATATTTTTTAATGCAAATGAAGGAAACTTACATTCTTTCTTCATTTTTTGATATTATTTCCTCTGACTCTTTTTCTACTTTAATATTTTCTGCTTCAATTTTCAAGTTATTGTCAACTGCTTTATGTAATTCCTGTCCAACAGAAACTGATTCTTTATCATCTCTGCTCTCCTCATTATCGAATTTCACCAAAACTTCATCTTTAGATTTGTTAATTAAACTATTGTCATCATGCTTGTCTTTTAATGCTTCTTGATTTGAAATCTCCGATATGTCTAATTTTTTTGGTTTTTTAATTTTTGACACCTCATCTTTGTTAACTTCAACTGATTTTGCCCTTTTTGTTGACTTTATTTTAAATTTTTCTTTATCAGATTCTTTTACTACTTTCAAATTTTTTTTAACTTTAATAGGAAGATCTGCTGTCAACATTTCAGGATTGTATATACTAGGGCGAGGTGTCACTTTTGCCAATTTTGTACAATATTGAGGAAGGCCGCATGTATCAGGTCGCTTTTTACGGTGCGCAATTATATTACTAGTGCAACTAAATCTAGACCCACAACATTCGCATATATACGGTTTTACACCAGTATGAAGGGTTGAATGTGTAACTAGTGATTGTTTCCATGCAAATTCGGCAAAACACACATTACATTTCCAAGGTTTTTCTCCGGTGTGCGAAATTTCATGGCTTTTTAATTGATATTTATTGTGAAAACCTTTACCGCAATATGGACAAACAAAAGCTTTTCTGTCTTCGTGTATTAACATGTGGGTTTTTAAAATACCTTTCGTTGTGAAACACTTATGACATTGATCACATTGGAATTGCTTATTCTTTCCACAATTTGAATCTATATGTCTCTGTAATATTTTAACAGAAGAAAACATTCTGCTACATTTTTCACATGGAAGCCACTCGTTTTGTTTTCCATTATGGTCCAACTTGATATGTTGAATATATTTTTCGCTCGTTTCAAATAAATTTTTACATAACCGGCATTTATAAACTTTATGGGCACTTTCTGTATGTTTTTGTTTATCACAATCAGTGCAAAAACGTTCATCACAGTAATTGCAGTAATATCCTCCGGGGGGAATATGCCTTTTTTCATGTTCTACTAGAGATTTAAGAAATTCAAATGTTGAATAACATATGTCGCACACAAATTTTTTTATGCCACTCTTGCACAGGACTCTAGAAACATTACATTTCTTTGCAATTTTACATGAGTTTTCGTGCCTTGATGCTTCTGTCTGCCCCAATAATTTATGACAAAAGGAACATCTTTTTTTTTTAATATCATTCTCTTCATGCTCTATTTCATCATTGTCCGACCAAGCACTTTCTTCAACTTTTTTGGGCATGACTTTCTTATTGTTGTTTCTTATTTAAACACGATATATTTATTAAACGCAAATTATATTTTAAACCTCTTGAAAAACAAATTTGTTTTGGATCGAAGTAACAAAAAAAAAACAAGCATATGTCAAAATACATAGCAACAGCGACGTCAAAAATTTTGTCAATTGAGAGTGGAATGTAGATTTTTTGATAACGGTCTAAGTAGTAATTGTTGTTTCGTATTCACACGTTTCATATTTAAATTTTGTTTCAAATATATTTGTTTCATATTAGCGGTTCAGAATTATTTAACATGTCCAATAAAGTTTTCACATTAGTTAACATGTTGACTATTAATATTAAAATATAAATTTAAATATTATTAAAAATACAATATTTTCGTCAACATGTTGCGACAAGGTTTGTAGCTTTCAAAATATGTAAATAGGAAATTTGTTTCTGTACCTTTAAAACACAGAGAGAAAAATCTTCCAGGCAAAAAATACGCATGCTTGAGTCTTATTCAAATAAAAGTTTAAGGTTCCTACTCTCTTTATTCATTCTAAAATTTTTACTAATGAAATAATAATGTTTACTGTAAAAGAATGTTTAGCAATAAATTATTACTACTGTTAAAAATTTCACCACTCTTTTGACACATCAATATTGCTACATTCACAATATTTAATTTTTATATACATTCACAATTTCTTTTTGAAATTGAAAAAATTTAATTTTAAAATATTTTACACTCACTTATTTTAATATACTGCTATTTGATATTTCACTAATCTAAATGCTCTTTCATCTACAAATGGGAAATTTTTTTGGTCGTTAATATCCTAATTGAAAGTGAAAAGTTATTTTGAGAGAAATTATGGTATTAAATTAAAAACTAGTTTCAATATTATTTTTTATTAATAATCGATATATGTAGATATTTCCATACAACAATTATTGTCATATGGAAAACGTGTCATTTTCATATCCAGACAGTTGAACATGAAGTTATATCTGGTGAATTTTCACAATAATCACATTTGATGCATTTTCCACATTTCTTCATATATACAAGTTATATTCAAATAGAATATAATGAAAATTTTTTGTTGCAGCACAACAAATAGTGTAGCCGTGGTGAAATAAAAAAATTTGTATCAGAATATTTAGCTTCAAAATATTTACAGCAACAATGATTATTTCTCTAGACAAGACATTCTCATTTAAGTCAATAAATCGAAGGACCCTCTTTTTTTGAAACAGTCATACATTTAAAGTTTCGTTAAATTCATTTTCACATCAACTTTATTCAGTTATTCGACTTGGAAGTTTTCTCAAATTCATTCAATGTTGAATCGAAGAATGTCGTATTAGGATAAAATTTTATTCGCTGTGAAAAATTACAAAAAAAAAATATTTTTTTCTTTTGAAAAAATTATTTAAAATTTTCAGAAAGGTGAAAAATTTTTTTAATTATTGATTTTCAAATTAAATATTTAATTAAAATATATAAATATCGTGTAATTTTCGATAATAAATAAAATTTAAACTAGTGGCAATAAGAAAAAAAAAAAATTTTCTCTCACATTTTCTACTGAAAAAGTGAAAATTGATTTTTCAAACAGGCGTCAGAATTTTTTTTTCATTTTTTCATTTTATAAAATTATAATAATTAATTTCATTTAAAATATAAAATTTAAAACAGTGTTAAATAAAATTTCATATATTTAATAAAAATTATAATAAAATAATTGTGAATTTAAAAAAAATTTTAATATTTTATATTTATTTTTTATTTTCAATATTCAGTAGGTAATTCAATTATTGCAGAAAAAAAAAAAAACAAAAAAAAAATAAAATAAATAGAATAAAAATATAAAAATATTCCAAAAAAAAAAATTCTCTCTTTTTTGTTCTATATATTTATCTCACTCTTACAAATTCAATTCAAGGCGACATTTTGTGTTTTTCATAAGAAACACCAGCAGAGCAAGAAAACAGAATTATTTGCGGCACCTACTCCTAGTTTTTGGGGTCTGTGGATATATTAAAAGACTTCGTACATATTAAAAAACAAAAAATAAAATAAAAAAATGTAAGTGAATTTATCGATTTTTTACTTTTTTTTTAGAAGTTTAACATTTACATTATAAAAAAAAAATCTGTAATGAAAATTTAATGTGTATAATATGTATGTATATATAATATATATATACACATTTATATACAAATATGTGTAACCAATTTTTAAAAATTTTTTTGGAACTTACGGTATTTTTTTTTTAATATATAAAATCTGATGTGTATCTAAATATATAAGATTGTGCTTTTACGTACGTATGCGTTGCAATATAAGATGTAACAGTAAAGATATTACGGTTATGTTCAATATCATTACTCGAAAACAAATATTTCAGGATAACAAAATAAAATAATAGTTTAACGCCTATGCAATTTATAAAAAAAATTATTTTATTTCATTCATGTGATTTTTAATAAAAATGAAACGACAACAACTTCATTTTATTCAAGCATTTGATGCGAAGTGGATTTTCCATTAATAATTTTATTTTTCGAATTAAAAATTCTATTATTTCTCGTATAGAAAAAAAAATTTAGTTTTTTTCTGTACAATAATGCAGTGTTCAAATTTTTTATTCATTCTTAAATGTGTGTGCATTTATATTGCACATTTCCCTTTATATTCCTTTTAAACGTTGAAAGAAAAAATACCAATACATTTAAAATACACACAGTCTGAGATGACGACATTCAGTTTTTTAGAAAAAAAAAAAGGAATGACAAGTCAAAAGAACCATTCGATATGAAAACAAAAAGAAAAAAAAATATTAATGAAAAAAACTTTTTTTTTTACTGCAAGATTATACTAAACATTAGTATAATTGAAATTTTGTACTAATGAAATATAAGGTACTTTTAATCTAGAGTTACAGTAAAATATTAATCAACAATTACAAAATTTAATTGATTTCAATATTATTTATCGAATAAACTATAATTATATTTTTGTATAAATAATGATTATTTACAGAGGAAAGACTTGAAAAACAAATCAAATTTCTCCTAAAAGTTTTTGTACAAATTTCTAAAAAAACAACGATTAATATAAAATGTATTGAAAATTAGCAATCCTTAAGAAAAAACGTAGAAACCAAAATAATTTAAATAGAGCTAGATACTAAAACGAATGTTGAAAAAAATTGCCAACTTTCAGGCGTGGAAAAAATTTTTCTGTTTCTTAAACAATTTTACTTACACAAGATTTAAAAAAAAACTTTTATTTTGTTATGTAAAAGATAAATCGAAACCATTTACAGAAACAAAAATATATGACTACTTAAAATGTATTTATGTGTAAAAATTTTTGACATATTCAATATTTTTTTACATACATATGTGTCTATAAATTTTATAGATGTCTCTACTCTATATGTACATATTTTTATAAAATAAATTTGTTTTGTAAAATTTATATTATAATGAATGTTTTTTTATAAAATTAAATAAATTTATTGTACATAATATTTGATATGTGTCTACAAAGTGTAATTCTCGCCTACACAACAACAACCAAAAAGAAAAAACAAAATAACAAAAATTAAAAAAAAAAAAGCACAAAAACCAATACAATTTTCTGACGTCTCTACTCTGACTATTAAAATATTGCATATGCACATACAATTTAGAAATATAAACAAAACCTTTATTAAATATGTTAATCCATATATACATATATATAATTACACGAGTACTTATTATTTATAATTTATTCATAAAAAAAAAAGGTTAAACCATAATTTTTTTTTTGTTTGTAATAATGTTTATATTGATTATACTTAAATGACAATATAAATCCATTTATATTTACAGATTTTTGTGTGTAAGGTTGTTTAATATGTATAACATGAAATCTAAATTAATATATATGTATATATAGCAATATATTAATGTTATACATGTATGTGTCGGATTGAATTAGTTGTTTTCTTAGAAAAAACATATTTATAAATTTGACGTAGGAGGTGTGTACCTTAACGCATATATCTGTTGCGATCAAAGCGTACGAAATAGTGGAGTTTTCCATTTAAATGATTTAGTATATATATATACAATTGAAAATTTTATATTAATAGTCCTTTTCGAATTTTTGCTGCAAAAAACTATTTAAAGCTTTTCTACTTAAATTATATACAAAATATGTTTAAAAAGGGTTCATTAAAACGTGTAATAAACTACACCCTTTTCTGAAAATAAATATTTCCAAATTCCTATTATACGATTACCCAAAATCTATTTATGATTCATATTTTCTAAAAATGGTCTAATTATTTGGTCAACAAAAAATATTGAAAAAAAATATTGATTTTTTTTTAAATATAGTTTGATGTAGTTGTCCTCTTGTTATTTTGATGACGAAAGTATCCTTATTCATTTCGGAATTGGAAAATTTAATATTGTTCTTGAAGTAAAGGCAGGTTTACTTTCTACTCGTATCTTATATACTCTGTTCAAAAATCTACAAGAAAATAATAAATATATTTCTTCTTAAACAAACTAAAAAATGATCTATATTTAAGTATGTAAAAATTTTAGTTAGCCATAATAATTAAATAAAATACTATTGAATTTTATTCATATATTTATTTAATATTATTATTATTATATACGATTTCAGTTAAATAAATAATTAAGAACTTAATAAATTATAAGTATATAAAAGAATTTAATAATGGGATTATTGGGAAAGAAAAAGGAAGAACCTCAAGAACCAGAGTAAGATTTAATATAAATTAAATAGTTTTATTTGTTATAATAAAACTGTATTAAATAGGTATACAGTCATAATCAATAATATAAATTTGGTAAACAAAATATTGAAAATAACTGTTCTACATAATATACTATACTGTTTAACATTAAAATATTATAAATTTTTCATATTTCAATATTTTCAATTTTTTTTATATTTTTTACTCGAATTTTTATATTTTAATAAGTTTAAAATACATTATAAATGTATTTTTGAAATTCTCATACCGCTCTTATTTATTTTTCTTATATAAAAAAAAGATTGCAATCGAAATTTACAACAAGGATATATTACATACATATACTTATGTATATGCATATGTATTATGTATAACAGAGAATATATTTTGAATTAATTGTAATATATACAATATGTTACAATATATTAAATTTCAAGAGAATAAATAGTGTATATAAACGAATATGTAAAGTATTATAATGTAACATTTTGTTTTAAACAATGTAACATTTCTATACAAACAAGGTCAAATGTATAACTGTATAATGAAAACTTTTATACAAAATTTAATACATAATTAAATTGTTCTTAATTTATTTAAAACAATTATTATAAATGTTTTTAGTAAAATATAATTTGACATTTCATAAATGGTCTAAATGTTAAACTGTTATATTCTAACTGTTATATAATTAAAAATTAATAATATTATTGTAAAAAATAATATTATAAATTTTAAAGTATAGGTTTCAAACTGTTATACAAAATCAAATTACCGATATTTTCGCACCATGCAAATATATGAAGTTTGAATCGTTCATCGGTTGGATTCGTCATCGTTTATCAGAATATTGAAATAAGAAAAAATATGAAACTAAAAAATAAAAACAAAAATTTAATATGACGTTTACCAAATTTTAATTTTTTAAATTATTACAGTTTTTTTAACTGTAATAATACACGATAAAATGATATAAGTAGTTAAAATAAAAACAATTATGGCTAAAATATTAATGTAAATGAATTAATTCCCTATATTCACAATTCAAAACATAACCTCGCAATATTTTTTTATTTTTTCCGTATTTAATATAATGTATATGTATGAATATATATTTTGGGTCCAAGCTAAAAATTTAATATTTTCAATATCATAATTACACATACATATAGTTTAAATTATTGAAGAGTAGTTTTACTGACGCATATAATTTTCCTTATAATAGATTTTATTGTTTCAAAAATATTTAGTTAATAATATTTATAATATCTTAAGTTTTATACATGAAGATTAATTCTTAATCTAATTAAATTATTTGTTTTATTGTTACAGAAATTGTGTATATGTTTAAATTTAAACTTAATATATTTTTTAATTCTCTGGAATATTTAAATATAAAATTTTATACACATTTATTCAATTAGAGAGATAACTAAAAGTTGAAATAAATTAAAGAAAATAATATAAAATGAATAAGTAAAATGTTGGTGTAAAATGTTGTAGATCTACAAAATACCATGAATGGTGAATATCTCTCTTATGGTGGGAATCTCCAATATGACATGTTTTCAACATTAAATATTTTCTACAAAATTTAAGCCTTGCTTAAATTTTCATTGTAATAATTTGCTATGAATGTCAAATGTCCATTGCATAAAATAAAAAGATCAATTCGATTATCGTGAAACCCACACTTAATAATGTGACTTTGCTCTCATACCAAAAATCGTTCTTTATTCGCATAAATTTTGAAAGTACCTTTTTGATATTTAAAGTTGGAAGATGAGTTTTTTGATATTTAAAGTACGAAGTATTAATGAAAGAAAGTATTTAAAGTATGTCTTGTATGACATGTATGACAAATTTTCTCATTTTCAGAAAAATGCAATATCAAAAAAATCACCTATTTAAAATAGCTAATTGCAAATACATTTATGGCAATCATTTGCACGATAACTCTTTACAATATTTATGTACATATTATGTGAATTTAGAAATAAATTTAGGTGCTTAAAATACACATATAGCAAACCGCATATTCTTTAGAACAAAAACTGTTTTTTCGTCAGTAAAAAATTCGGATGAATTTATAAGATATCTTCTTATCGCTGGATTATTGCACTGATGCTATAAATTACTAATAATGAAATAAAAATTGCAAAAAACAAAGGACAGCGTTCAAGCTAATCACTACAGATTAACAAATTCTATTTTATAATTAGCATAAAATCTATAAGAAATAATTAAAAAACAAGTCCTTTTTACATAATTTGATTATATTGGTATATGAAAGCAAATATCTACATACTTAACTATTACATCTAAATCTGTAATTGGTGATATAAAATTATTTTTAATATTTCTAAATAATATTTAATTGACAAAAATTTTTTCTGGTTCTTAATTGTATTAACAATAGTAATTATTGTATATGTTGCCCACATATACTTTGGGAAGTTGAAATCTAAATTAAGTATATTGAAAATCTTACAACAAATTTCAAGCAAATTACTTAAATAAAAATTTTCAATATGTTAAAATTAAAAAAAAAAATACTTACATTATTACATGTCTTTATATGTAATACTTAAATATATGTATATATATGCACTATTATTTGACAATTAAAAAAGAAAAAAATATTTTTCCAAAGTAATAAGAAGCGCAGAATCAAAATTTGAGAAAAAAAATATAAAAGAAAATTTAACGAAACTATTCAAGTTTTCCTTTTCTCCTATGAACTCGAATTTATATAGTGTACATTGTCTTATTTTCTGTATCTAGGTGATAGAAAGGAAAATATGTATGTAGTTGAAATTTTTTTCTACATATACATACATACATGCAAATAATTTCATTTATTTTCAATAGAGAAATTTTTCTAATTGTCATATTATTCTTATATTAATTGGGTATACAATTAAAATTCACTTATGTATCTTTTATGTGATTTCTTCCGAAAAATTTGTTGATATTAATATAATATTATGATATACATATGTATGTAAATACTTGTAGGTTATGGTTTGACGTAGTATCAAATCTGTTAAACAAATACTAAATTTTTATAATCAATAAAATGACGAATTTAATTAGAATTCTTTCAGAATTAATATACTTATAAAAAAATCATTTCAGCTCAAATTGCTCAACCAATTCACAAATTTTAAATTCGTATTCTCCTTTTATAATTACTTGCCGAGTAAAAAAGTGAGATAGACGATCAGGCTCTTAACTCAGATGTTAACACATAAAACTGATGCCGGTTTGTCAAAAGGCAGGAGTAAAATTTCTATCTGCCTAGAATGTTGTTAAATTTTCGCGGAATTGAAACTACTCGTATATGCTATAAACAGAAAACCTCTTTGCATTTGCAAATCTAAATTTCTTACTATATCGCCATGAACATGAAATGCATTTCCTTTGCAGAAATATAACACGTCCAACTGCAACAGTCTATACGAAGAAGCAGTTGGAAGAATTACTTATTTATTTCCAGTCAAATTTTTGTAAGAAAAATAAATGTCAAATTTTCAATATTTCAATTTAAAGATTGATTTTTACTTCTGTATATAATAGATTTTCCATGCAAAACAGATTGTTATATTCTCGTAAAATATTTCACCTATCGGTATAAATGTATAGTACATAGTTTTTAACTTAATATGATTTTAAACTATGATGTAGTTGCGAAAATATAAAGATATTATTTTATTGCAATACCACGAAATTTGGAAAAATTGAACAGGATAATTTTGAAACGAAGTATAAAATAGAAAAAAATTTCTTATATAATTCGTATATTTCCTATTACAAAGTTATTTTTAACTGTTATATCTGTTATACATCAAATGTTAAAAAATAAAATAACTGATTTACATTTAAAACCTGCCGCTAGATAACTTAAATCTGCTGCTGGCTATGTTTTAATTAATGAATTTTCTATAAGAGAAAAGCACACACATTTATTTAAAGAAAAAATGAGTGCAATGTTTTATTTTATATAACAGATTATTTTTTTCTTTAAATTTTACTTTTTAACGATTCCTTTTCTATTTAATGAAATTCCCACACAACAAATAAACCTCTTAATTAAAGTCTGGAGGGTGTGTTTTTAATTAAATAAAAAGACAAGTTTTGATAGTCAAATATTTATAAAATAAAATGAATTTAAAAATTTATGTCAAAAATTTTATGCTCTTTAAAAAAAAAATCAATATTTTCTTTATTTAAACTAAAACACTTGGATAAAATTTAAATAAAAGTTTCTGAACGAAATTCTTTACTCTTATACAATTTATACTTAAAATATATAAAATTAACAATATATTACACTAAAATTTTACAATAAATATATACAACAGCAAAATACACTTGAGAAAAGCATATTTTATTTTGAAATTTTACTTTTAATAGAAGTTTTCACAGCTTGATGCAAAATATCGATGATAAAGCAATCTATTTGTCAGAGAAAAACTTTGCACTATTACCACAACAATGCGTATAAATTAAAAATATTTCTCTCACTAGTATGAATTTTCTCTGCAAAAAAGTAATGTACAAAACTAGAGCGATAACTGTTAAAATCAAAAAAAAAATTAATTTTAGTGTATGTATGTCATTTGACATTTCGAAAAATTAATTTACCTTGTTTTGTATATTTTAAGGTGACAAATTCCCCTGTCATAATTGTCACAAAGAAGTGAATGAAAGGAAAAATGAAGGAAAGACAAAAAGCTTTCACTAAAGAAAGAATGATTGAGAATGATAAACAACTGTATTCTCATTTTTACTGAGCGAATTGCATACAATAAGGGAGTTTATGTGATGGCACTAAATTTTGATTATCGAGTTTTCGGTGGAAACGCAGTCCTCCGTGGTAGGGAAGCCGGTCGGTCAGTCTGCCGATCTGTGTGACGCGTGTTCTGTACGACGTATGTGTCTCAAGTTCGGCTATAATATTAACCAGTATAAACTTTAATTGTTTTGACAATCAATGTTTTAACAGTAATAAATATCTCAACCGTAAATACCTTGAAAGTGAATGACATGTTCCCATTTTTACTCTGTTTTGCTCTAACACACATTAAGCTGTGGAAATTCCTAATGTTTTATGATTAAATTATTTATTTTTAATTTATAATTTTCTTAAAAAACTGCGATTGTCAACATTTTATTGACATTTTTCTATATTTTAGTCTTATAGGGACTTTTATGTATGTTTATAATAATTAACAAAAAAAAAAAATGTTATCAATGTTGTGTTATTAATGAACATTATAATTTTTCTGTTATTTTATTTTTGTAACCAAAATTTTGTTTTTTATTCTATTTGAAATTTTTATTTTAATGTAGAATTACTCTTTATTTTTCTTTTTATTATACAATATAATTTTATACGTTTTTATTTAGGGCTGAAGAAAAAAAGGCTGAATCAACACCAGCTACAGCTGAAGATAAAGCACCTGCTGCTACGGGAACAGAATCGTAGATTTCCTTTTAAATTTTTTATTGAATTTGATTTTTAAATGAAATTTCAAATGTTTTTTTTTTTCATATTATTTAATCAATTTTTCTGGAAGCCTATATTCATACAATATAATAATTTTAATTAACTATAGTTAATGGCCGTTTATTCATTGAATTTTAAAACATTTTGCAAATATGTTTTAAATGTAATAATTGAAGAATGCCTATAGCATATACAATATTTCTCAAATTTTAACAAATTAATTTAAATTTCAGTTTAGCTCATAGGTCTAAAATTAATTTTAAATCAGGTTAATGATTTGTTAAATAATTATTATTCTTAATTGTCTTAAAGAACAAACTAATATAAAAAAATTTCATAGAAATTTTGCTGTTTGACATTTTAAAAATTTTAAATTTGCAACCTGCACTGTGAACTAAATTTTTTGCAAAATGTTAAATTTTCATAAAATAATTCATATAAAATTTGAAATTCTAAATTCATTCTTAATTGGGATAAGTAATGAAAAAAGTTTTTAAACAAAATTATTGTATAAGAACATTTTAAATAAGAGTTTTAAAATTTTCAATTCACAAAACTCGAATTAGAATTGCTTTCCTTTCAAATTTTGAAAAATATTTTTCTTATTATTTTCGCATATTTTTCTAGTACATATTATATAATGTTGAAATGATCTCATTAGCATTAATTTTTAGAAATAAACGACCAAGAACTATAGTAAATTTTCGTGCATGATCCTTTATAAAATGTCAAGTTTGACATAAACAAAAAAAAAAAAGTAATTATATATCAATTACTATAATGGCTGACAATGATCGCTGATCGCTGATTTTAATATCTTTTATACAGACATACACATATTTATAATCTTTGCTATATACCATTTCAAATTAATATCATATTATATATCTAAATACAAACTGATTTATTTGCTAATTGAAAATTATAATTTAACAAATTTTAACTGAAAAAATTTTCGATTTAATTGATTTCAATATTAAATTCACAAGCAATTATTGTTTTACTTAAAAATTGAAACTTTTTATTACGGAAAAAGACAGTTTTAATAAAAACTTTAAAATACACATATAATTAGCGAATAAATTTATATTTATTTATGTTAACGAAAATAAATACAATATTGAAGGAAGAACCATAATTTACAAATTGGCTTCGATTTTAATTATGTTATTTATATGAAATATTTTATAATTCTCTTTTAATCAAATACTTTTTGCTTAATATCGAAACTTAAACCCCCTTATCGAAACACAATATTTTTGAATATAGAAATCGATTCTGATGGCAGGAAATACATATAGTTTAATTTATAATTTATTTTTCCACTATTCTTCCAACTCTACTTTTGACATTTTTCTGTACTATACATTCTCTTACTTTTGACATTTCTCTGTACATAAAATATCGTTTTTGAAGAAAAACGATTTTTAAATTCACTTAATATCCTTCTATGTTTCTGTTCTTCGCAATATTTTGTGCTATAATAAATTTTTTTAAATAAATATTTTAAATTATCTTATTTCAAAATCGACCCTTTATAATTTATAAGTTTTTTTTTAATATAATTTATTATTTTAATGTTATACTTATGTAAATAATTTTTATTCTATATTATATAGTAATAATAATTTGCTATAATTTTTATAGTATAACAATAGCACAAGTTATGAAAAGATTTTTTGGTAAAATATTTTTGCACAAAATTTTTTTATTTTTTGTTAATCAATAAATTAAATTCCCAATAACCTATGTATACACATGTATGTATAAAGAAGATTAACTGATAAGAATCTATAATTTTTATTTTCCAAGCACCTCTGTTCTAATTTTTCCAAAACAAAAAAATAAAATGCACCAATGTATTGCTTGATTTTATATCAAAATTTTTATTTAAAAATGAAAATTTATTTAAAATATCCACTTTAGCACAAAACCCTGCACAAAATAAATTTATATGTTTTTCTTTAAATTCAATTTTATGTGAGCAGTTATTGAGAGTAAAAATTTCTTAAAACAAATCGATGTATTTTTTGCAACACGACAAATCTAATTTGTTTTAGCTAAGCATGACTTCAAAAATGCAGTATTATTTCCTTTTGAATAACGATTTTACAACGTGTATGAAATTTTACAACGTGTATCAATTTTTACAACGTGTATGAAACACTGTTTAATTATAGTTTAAAACATTTCCAACATTTAGAAAGAAAAAATTTTTGATTAAATTTTTGACTCATAAGAAATTATCTCAAAATTTAATATTTATTTCAGAGAATCTATGTCTTTAAAAGAACATTACATAAATATATTTAAAAACTGTTAGCCATTCTAAATTTTTCACAAAAGCAAAAAGCAAACGGTGACCCGATTAATACTTCACATTATAAAATATAATAGATTTTCTTAACCCCTCTAATTTACTGCCGAATTCGACCATTCTATTAAAGCTTCTTTTAATTGTTGTCAATCCGTATATGAGTGTGTTAAGTATTACACGAATATTTTTAAAACGAGTTAACTTAACTATTTAACTACATACTCCATAGTTTTTTTTACGAGTACGTATTATTTTACACGTAAAAATTTGAGCATATTATGACAAGAATTTTTGAAAAACATTTTTGTAAATTTAACATTCTTACTGCAATTTTGAAGGGTTTATTAGTTTTAAACATTCTTAATAATGAAAAAAGGTAAAATATATTTTTAATTATATAAATTGATTTTAAAAAATTTAACCATTCAAATTTTAAAAGAAGAAAATAACTACTCATATATTATTATTTATAACTATAGTATTATAATTGTTAAAATTTACACGAGAGGCTATGCAATATTGTGGCTAACTTCAAAGTTGAATTAATCGCATTTATTTTGTTTCGATAGCATCTAAATTTTTTTTTACCACTTAAATGCAATCATTTTTTGTTAATGAAGTTAACAATATTTTTAAAAGAATGAAAAAAATTATATTTGTTTTTTATTTGTATAAATTTATTTCTGTAAATTTTGTTTTTGCTTACTTATATTACATATATATACCAATATTCAAAATACATACAACATAAACATACCATCATTACATCATACATATCACACATAACATTAAAACCTATTAAAATAAAATCACATATATGGTGTAGAAATGTATATTTTATATACATTTAAAACATTTTAAAATTAAATTAATTATATAAAATTAGGTAAAATAAAGTAGGTGAAATTTATGTTCTCTTACATTATAAAATATATTATCTATATGAAGTATTATTAATGTGAAATAATATAAAATCTAATAACATAAACTTATTTGCGTCGCGCACGTTTATATATACATTTAGTTTACATTCGTAAAAGCTGAATTTTTAAAATTAAATTGTTAGAATGATTTCTTTAAAGAATTTTATTTAAAAAAAATACATCGTTTTCAATCTAGTTGTTTACCCGTGTAAGTCTCTGTACACCAACCTTGTAGTTGGTGGTCAAATTTAAAATTAAGTAAGAAACGTTACAGCAGAACTTATCTCTTAGGGGCAAATACGCCGGTACAATATAAATTATTTACACATCATTTCCAAGATATTTCACTTAAATGTAAAAAATGTAAAAAACTTGAATAACTAAAAAGAATATTTTCTCTACAGTCTTCCGCACTTCTAATCAACTTTCTAATTAATCTAAAAAATCAACTTGATCTAATTTAAAGCTTTATGAATTTGGCTATAAAAAAAATTTAGGTTTTTAATTGGCCTCTAAAAAAAAACCGTGTAATGTTTATTTACGCCATCATTTTTAAAAGGACAACCGATTCTTATATTGTAGGATTGGAATAAAGCAAATAATCGATTATTTTAGAAGCAGAAAAATGTTATTAGATTATTTTTCAATCGATGAGCCATTTTTTATGTAAGACGCAATGCTATCATTATGCTCATAACATTTTACCAAAAAAAATAATGTAAGAATCTAAATTTTTAAGTATATAGATACAAATCATGTATATTTCGTTAAAATCTATTACATTTAATATTTTATATATAATATGTAATTATATATCTCAGAATAAATTCATCACTAACTATTATATTCGATGAGTAAATATACATGTAATATTTATATAAAAAAAAAGTAATTACCATTCGTTTAGAAAAATATCCATATATATTATTATTTTTACTATAAAATTTTTTTATCCTATAAAAATAAAATATATATTTGCTAATTTTAATGTATTAAAAAATTAAACTAAATATTATAATGAATGTAGAGCTATATTTTTAGACAGTTTTTATAATATCTAATAGCATTTAATTATAAATTAAAAATTTTTTTGTATTAATAATAAATAATTTGAATTTGTATGAAAAAAGGGCCGATCCTGCAGCTGGACCACCTGCCGCAGCCCCAACAGGGGAACCTGGTGCCGATGGTGAAATTGTTGGTGGACCAAGAAATCCACAACAAATTGCAGCTCAAAGAAGATTACAACAAACACAAGCGCAAGTTGATGAGGTATATTAAAATTAATATATATTTTATTTATATTGTAATGCATTGTAAACAATATTTTTATATATAAAATGTTAAATTCAAAACTTATTATGAAAAAAATAAAATTATACATTTTATTTATACTCGTTTAATTTTTAAGGTTGTTGATATTATGAAAACGAACGTAGAAAAGGTGTTGGAAAGGGATCAAAAACTATCAGAATTAGATGATAGAGCTGATGCTTTACAACAGGGTGCTTCACAATTTGAACAACAAGCTGGAAAATTAAAACGAAAATTCTGGCTACAAAATTTAAAGGTATAATAATAAAATAAATAAAATTTCGCGGTAATTTCATTTTTTGACAAATATTCAAAGCGTTCTCAAAACTTACACAATCATAATTTTTTTATATATTTTAGATGATGATAATAATGGGTGTTATTGGATTGGTAATACTCGCAATCATTGTAGGTAAGTGACAATTAAATTTTTTATATTTTTATACGATACGGATTTCATACAGAATTGTTTCTACAAAACTTAAAAAATAAAAATAATTTATTAGCTAAAACCAAAAGTTAATATAATAATAAATTGTTAAACTTCACTATGCAGCTAAAGAGTAATTTATTTGAAAAACAAATATCTGTTTCTGATGTTAGAATATTTGAAGAATATTAAAATAGAATATAATGTCCTTTTTAATATTTTGCTATTATTCTGTATAAACCCCCCTTGTACCACTCTGATAATTTTTCTTTTTTGTATTTCTAAAAATAAAAATAAATAAGTATAATTATGTATATTAAATATTTAATTATTTTTTAATAATAATATTTGAAATACCATTACCAAAAAAAAAAAATAACCAAATTTTATTCCTTTATATTATAGCTAACTTCATGTAGGCGCCTAATATGTTTTAATAAATTACCAAAAATTATGAAATTGTAAATGCAAAAAATCATTGTTCATCACTGTTTTCAATCCTATAAATAAAATTAAAAAATTTATAAATAAATAAATTCATACGTAAAATTATCACCAATAGAAAGAAAATAAAAAAAATTAAAATAATAGAACAAAAAAATTTTTAAATTTCGATCTGTCATTTTTGTTTTTTGTATTTTTTTTCAATATCATTTGTAAACGTCATAGATAATAATAGAGTGTAATTATAATTGTTAAAAAAAAAAGAATATTATCCAAAAATCGTACTACAATGCATTTAAATTCCATATTATAATAAAATTACATTAAAAAATATAACAATATTGAGGTCTAAGAAATAAAAATAAAAAAAAAACACACGAAATCATAATAAAAATTAAGCCAACAAGTTAAAAAAAAGATAAACTGAACGAATTTTTAACGAATTTTTTTTTTTTGGAAACGGCAAAAACGAATAACGACGTAATGGCAAAATTTTTATTCTCATTAAACATAAAGTTGTTGAGGTAAAACAAAATTTAACGGATAAAAGAAAACAAACAAAAAAGAACGTAAAGTTTTTTAAATTGCGTAAGCAAAAATGTAATTAGAAAAAACAACCATTGGTTTTTTTAACTTTATTTAAATACAAAAGTAGGTATATATGTTTCTCCTATATTTGTTTCTTTATTATTGTAATTTTCAAATTCAAAATTGCTACCAATTGGCGTATATTGGCATATTGACAAAATAAAGAAAATTTTTTTTTTTAATTTTTTAATTTTTTTTTTTTATTTTCCTTCCTATTTTATTATTTTGTTCGATTAGAGAGAATATTATTGTTAGCTTTGCGCAGAGGTGATATCGTAACCAATGAGGTTCTACCGAGGTGCGAATATTACTAATTGATAACTTTAACCAAAGTGTTTTCATAATAAATTGATCAAAAAAAAAAAATTCGACTTTATAAATATAATTTTAAAGGTTTTTGGTTAAAAACAATTTCGTTAAAAAATAATATATTTTATATAAAATTATAATTCAACTTATTAAATATAATTAAATTATAAAAGGAAAAATTATTTTGTCGGAATTCAAAGCATTCATTTATAAAGTTATTCAACACAAATGTTCTAGTTAGTAATTGCAACATTTAATAACTAATTATAAATGACATATTTCCAACTTTATATTTTGAACTTAGAATTCACTTCAGCAAAATCTTATTTGATTTTATATTAAAATATTGTTTTACTATTGATATTGTAAATTTAATTTTGCATTATTACAATAAACTTTTATTTGTTGAGATTTTATGATTATTATGAAGGTTTCATTATAACTTTATCATAATTCATACAATTTACTTATGTAATATAAATTGTCTATATAAGGGATTAATAAAATTTAACATGAGTCAAAACTAAAATCTATTTTATAATAAATTATATTGTTTTCAAATTATTTCTTATCTTGCAAATAGACAATAATTCTCTTCGAACAAAGCTTAATTTTTTTTTTTGGAATATATTTATTTTGTCTTGTAATAAAATCATTATTTTTTTATTTTTTATTATTTTTAGGAATTTTTTTATATGTACAATAATTTGTATTAAAATTAGTGCATAACGATATTCTTTAATTATATTATAATTATAAATAAATATTGTAAAAAAAAAATTTTATCTAAACAACTAAATGTGTGTATATCCAATACATATATAAAAACAAAAGTTTTATAATAAAATATATGTTTTAATAAATATATATGTGTGTATGTGTAAAGTATAAAAAGTAAAATAATTTTTAATTATTTTTAATATCATTTGTGTCTAAATGAAAACGTCCGTAATTTTTAAAAAAATTGTTATTTCCTATTTTATTTTATGATTTTTTTTATAAATTTTTAATAACTTTTATAAATTAATTTAATTTTTTAATGATATACGAATTATAAAGGATATATTTCGAATTTTCTTCATCCTTAAAGATTAAATTTATTTTATTACTCATTAATTTACAAGTATTTCATAGCTCGGTATAATGAAATTGTGACTGCAAAAAACCCTAAATATACCAAGTAATTTTTAGATAGTTAAGGTTTTTGATCATCAAATAATCTTTTTAATCACATTTCTCTTAATTTAAATTTAATAATATTTCCAAAATTACTTATTTTAACGAAATTTAAAATATTTAACGAATTATTTATTTTAACTTCTATAAATAATCTTTAATTGTTACATAAAAGAGCTATAATTTCAAAAAATATTTCGTTAATAAAAATTTTGATTAATATTATAACTAATTTTTTATTAAAACATTCATAATCACTTTCTTTAAACTCTTGTATCAGTTTTTGAATTAACATTACTCCGAAAATTGCAAAAAATTAATTTACAATTTTAGCTTCTGAATTTAATTCTATCTTGCCCTTAATTATTTATTTATTTTTAAGTAATTGTAGATTTGGGTTTCTCGTTTTTATTTTTCTTTAATTATATATAAATATGTAAATATAAAATTATTTCTAATTTTTAAATTTGTTCTTCCTTATTTTATACATAAAATCTGTATGTATATATTATATAGGTATGTGATTAACAAGAAATCGTTATTTTAGAAAACTTTGATTGTTTTTTAAAATTTAGAATATTAAATATTAAAAAAATTAACTTTAATGTTTTACAAACTAAGTTTATTTGTTTTTTCTTTGTGTTTTGTTATCAAAAATTTTTCAAATATTTCTCTCTTCCTCTATGTTAAATGTTTTTCAAAGAACACTTTTTACCTCATCTCTTTTTCTCTATACTTTTAGTGTTCAACCTTAATAGTTAAAAATATACAAAACAATTTTTCATTAAAAATCCGAAACATTTGAAATTTTACATTTTATAAAACCAAAAGAAATTCTTAACCAAACTAAACAATGTGGCAGTAAAATAAAATTATTAAATATAAAGTAAATAATAAATGCTTCCTTGATATATTTTGAGAGCTAAAATTTACCAACTTTGGGCACTATGTGCCAATTTATATATTTTTATACGAAAATTATTTTTTTTTCTTTTAAGTTAATGTAAGAATATTTTCAATAGATTTGTAAGTTGAATAAGGCTTTTTAAGTTTTTATTTTAATTTTAAAGACACATACACATATATTATATAAACATATATAGATATACAAATAATATATTAAACCTACATTGTATATGACGTATAAATGAAAAATAATTACTAATTTTTATTAAATAATTAAAAAATTGTTACAATGTATACCAAATTTAACTTATTTTTTAATTAGCTTAAATGTGAATAACAGTTTCGTGCGAATTTGCTTTTTTTTTAATCGCAAAATTAAAAATTGTTGCCAATGGAATTTTCATAACAAAACTTTCTATGAAATTTGTACAAAATTTATTTCTAAATTAATTTTCATCATTTGATAAATTGATCAAATAAATTAAGATAGGAAGTTAACCACCAAAAATGTCTGCGCGATTATATTAAACCGGCGCGATTAAAAAAATTTAAAAAGAGTTTAAACATCAAAAATTATTTATAGATTTTGTTCGATCAAACTTTTATAGCTTTCTATTTTTTCAATTGGACAAATAATTCAAGATGTTTTCTTTTATCAAAATTGTTATCAAATCGAATAAAATCAATGAAGAAAGTTTTAATATGTGTCAGACTATAAAATTATGTTTACATTGTAACTACGTTTTATATTATAATTCAAATAAATTAATTTACATTATATAAATATACATTTACCGTTAATGGTATTGATTTATCTTATAAAATTACGGTAGTATTCGAAAAGTCTTCCTAGTTTTTTTATATTATTTTTTAAGGTATTTTTTTTTTAATTATAAATTTAATATTTTTTATTTAAATTATATATTTTTTCTCTTTATTTTGAAATAAATTGGAATATGCTTTAGCTTGCTTTCAAAATTTCGTATTAATATAATAATAAAACAAAAAATGAAAATTAAATATTTTTCAACAACGAAATTTTATAAATTGATCTAAATTTACCAAAAAAATTATTTCCGTTATTATAATTATGATTATTTGATATTTTATTTAAATTGTATATTGTTTTATTTTAACAATTGGAATATGCTTTCGCTTGCTTCAAAATTTCGAAATACTTATAATATCAAAATCAAAATTTAAAATTGAATATTTCAGTATCGAATGTGTTTTAAAAACAACAATTATATCTTAGAAAACTAAAAATATTTCGTTAATAAAATCTATTCGAAAGTATGATAATAATGAGGCTCGTTAAAAAAAGTCGATATTCAGCTACATTCTATATTCCGTAATAAAAATTTTTATCATCATTTTAGCATATATTTCATTAAATTCATCCATTATCCCTTAATAATTATTGTTGTATTTGATTGTTAGTTTACTATTGCTAAAAACTTCTTCTTAAAAATTGAAATTTTTAACATTTTATTTTTCAAAATAAAAATTAAATTAAAAAAACTATATTTTGTTTCACAGAAAAAGGAAAGAAAGAAGAAGATTAAAATTTTCGTTAAAATTGAAAAACAAAGAATATTTTTATGGTAGATAAGGTATCAATAAAAATTTAATCCAGCAATTTAAATATTTCGAGTAGTTAAGCTAGAATATTAAAATTAATTTAATGGAGTATTTTCAATGTAATCGGAATTTTTTCTTATTTTGATAAAAAAAAATTCAATTGACAATTCGAATAATTTAAAAATCACCATATTTTATTGAATTCTTAAATTATTTCTAATATTGTTTTCCGTATTCAAGATATTTTAATTAAAAATAATACTTTATATACAAGTTTTTAATAATTTCAATTACCGAAATGGTCAAGTTCGCGAGATATGAAAATTAAATAAAATTAAAAATTAAAATATTAATTCGTTTTTTACATTAATACTATTAGTTTAGTGTATTTTTGATTTTTTTTAGTGAATTTCCCATAAATTACATTTTGAAGTATTAAGATTTCTTTGAAATAGAAATTTGTACAAGTTAATAGAAACATTATTTTTCTCCCTTTAACTCTCTTAGTCTAGTTTTATTATGTATTATTATAAATATTTAAAATTTAAGAAAAGAAATATTAACCAAAGGAACAATAAATTCAAATAAATTTTTTAAATCTTGAATTTATTCAAGAATAACAATTACATCTAATATTTTGTAAATTTCAAATAAATATATGTGATTCAACCAGGTTACGTGTACTGTGCATATCTATATATCAGTGTATCTTCTTATTCAAATGTTTTAGAAACAAATTTTTTAAAAAAAACCTAATTTAAAAGTTAAAACATTTACAAATATTTTACTTCTATATTAAAAATTTTCACGAAATGTACTTAAACAATAAGTTATATAGTGTTGAAATAATTTCCAATTAATTGCATAAAAATGAATATGAATGAGTTATGAATTTCTTTTAATTTATGCAATTTGATTGCTACTTAGTTGATACATATAACATTGTATTCACAGATATTTTAATTAAATTTGATTTCTACATATGAAATATTGTAAAAAAATTTGAATACATTTGCCCTAACCAAATGCAATCACTAAATCTATTTTATATAATAATAAAATCACTTAAAGATTCATTTACTTTAATTTTAAGTGAAATTACAACTTAAACAAATACTTAAAATAACTTAAATCAACAAATAACTTAAATTAACTCTCAATATAAACCAATTTAAAAAGAATACTTTTAAATTTTTTAGAAAATTTTGGTTAATTTCACCTTTTTTTCAATATGTAGTTCTAATTTAGTTCAATATTGGCCGTTCATTAAGAGTAAGTGCTTATCAAATACTATTTTTAAACCAGTACTATTTTGACAGCACAATATTAATTACATAAGAATTTACTAGCAAAATAATATTTTGAAATCCAGTCTAAAATGGAAATCGAATTTATTTTTTTTCACAGATTTTGCGTGTCGACAGAAAAAAAATTACTGTAGCTTTTAAACATTTTTTGAACTGCTGCCGTCTTAGATATATTCGTTCGAACTAAGAACTGCCAATGTTGTTCTGAATTTTAAAAAATCCCCATAGTAAAGATTGATTATTGTTCATCAATTATTCTTCTTTTGACTTTTGGAACCATTTAAATACCAAATGACATAACTAAAATAATATAAAAAAATTATAAATATTTTGAGTAAATATAAATTTTAATTAAATAGGTTAGAATATTGTATGACAAAAAAAATTATACATTTTTTTTTAAAATAATAAAAATTTTTGAATTGAAATACAAATTAATTAATTTTCTCTTTTTTTCTCTCTCTCTCTCCATTTTCTGCGCAAAATTATTGATAATTAATTACTGGGTGATTGTCACTCGTCTTACTCCTCGTCACTGACCGACGACTGAACAATCCTGAAAATAAAAATCGAAAAATTACTTTAATATTTTAAATTATTAAAATTATTAAGGTAAACTTAATTAAACTTCATAAGATAACAAAAAAAAATATCTGGACATTACCTAGGTGGCCTTGCAGGATCATAAAACAAAAAAAAAACCAAAAACAAAATACCAGAAAAGTAAAAAAAATATTTAAAAAATCATAGATCTTGTGAAAGTTGTCTTCATATAAAATCATATAAATTGAATTGCATCGTTGTCAATAACTTCCATAATAAAATAATAATGTAATATAGTAAACAAAACAAAAAAACAAATATATAAAGAAAATAAAAACATTTATGCGAAAAAAACATATAATTACAAAAAATATTTGAAATACAGAGAAAATGCCAATTATATTTGAATAATTTGAAATAATCATTATATAAAATATACAAATATTTATATAATATATAAGTAATATATCAGAAAATTTGAAAATAAAAAAAAATCATCAAAAAATAGGTATCATTTTATTTTTCATAAAAATAATAATTTAGTAAGGTTAAGTTTTAGTAAACAAAAAAAAAAGTGTTTGTTTTATAGTTTTTATGTTTTCTTAGTTGAAATTCGATTTGGATTTTTATTGTTTTTTAATTTGAAAAGTTCGCAGTAACCATTTTTAATGAAAAATTGCATACTTTATAAGTTTTGTAAATTATTGTTTTAAATTTTTTCTTTCTTTAAACTGTATTATTTAGTTGCAAAATTTTTAATTAGACAAAACTATCAAAATTATTACAATAATTAGAGAACCTTATTTAATAAACCCATTGTACAAAATTCTTAATTATTTTTAAAAAAAATTTATGGAAAAAAGTAAAATTCCTGTTTGTTTTTATTTGTTTTTTCTTATTTTTAAATTTAATTTTTTTTTTTTGTAAAATTTTCTGAATTTTGAAATGTGTTTTGAATTATTTTATATAAATTATCATTATAATTGCTACATATATAAAAATATTGAAAAATATAATTGCATATTTTATATTTAAAAAAAAATGTATTAAACGGACCTATTTTACACGTATTTAAGCTTTATATTGCTATCACAAATTGCACAATGCAGCTATACTCTTATATTTCAAAATATTTCACTGTTATACTTAAAAGTGTTCATTCGTTGAATATTTAGTGAAATAATTGTTAAAAATTGAATTTTGCACTAATATAATACACAATTGCTTTTAATTTAGAACAAAAAAAATCAAATTCTGAGAAAATTAACACTATGAAAACTATTATAACAATAAATTTTTCAAAAGCCTTTTTCAGTCAAACATCAAAAACTATAGTTACAAAATTGATAACTAAATTTTCACCTAATAAACACTCAAACATACCTTTATTTTTATATTTGATGAAAAAAAGCAAACTATACTAAAGTCATAGTAAAATTTTAGTTTGAAAATAAATAGGTACGCAATCCTAATTTTTATTTGCACAAAATATACGAGTGTCTATAATATACGGAATCTGATCACTCTAATATACAACATTTATAACTAAAAATTAATTTCCTTGCTATAAAAATTAAACATTATACAAATATAATACACATCAAATTATTTACACAAAAATTTATCAAAAAGCTGCCACTTTCGTATTTCATTTTTAACACAAAAAAATCTTAAATATTACACAACTCTATCAATTCTATTTAGTAATTTAAAATGTACGTATATTTAAAACACTACTACTTATGACGTAGATAAGTTCACAAACAAATATTTAATATTAAATCCTTTCCTTCAATTTCTGTACAATCTTCTTATTACTTGTTATCTATCAATCTACTTAAAATTATTTATTATTAAAATTGCATTAAAAAATATTGCATCCAAAAGAATATATAAGTGTGTTAATTAAAATAATCTATTTGAAAAAAAATATTTCAAAATTTAATAAAATTTTTCAAAAATAAAAAAATTATTAATTATTATTCTTTGGTTCAATATAAATGAATGTATGTATACGTTTTTATAATTTTAATTTCACCATTAATGTCTATTGAATGAGATTTGAATGGTGGTAATGTAAAGAAAAAAAAAAGATTCTAAATGACCGAATGATAAAAATTAAATGAAGGATAAAAGAAATCCTTTAGTATGGATTTACCTATAGGTTGTATGTGGGTGTTCTATTTTTTTTTTATTTTTTGTTTTTAATAAGTGTGTATAATTATGTATAGAAATTTTTTGATGAAAGCATTAAAAACTAATGAAAAAAAAACTATGCTATTTCAGTTCTATGCATATAATTATAATTTTTAAATTTAATTTCAATTGTTTTTGTTAGTTTTTAATTTCAATTAATTCAAAAATTCCACCAAAACCTTATATATTAAATAAACAACACCGCCAGAACATTGTATTATCATCAAAAACAAATATAATTCTTTAAAAGATAATATTTAATACATATAAGAGTAAATTATAAAATAATATAATTATGTATTTAGAATATATGTATGTATAGAAGAAAAAAACATACAAAATTCCTTGATCTACTAATTTATTAAAACTCCTTGAATAATCTACTTTTCTCCATTTTGAATTCTAGGATTTATTGCCAATTAATCTCCATAACTCTGTCATTCGTTTTGTTGCTGATCATCAAATTTCCGAATTTGCCGAATGGATCAATTTTTTAAAACCTAAAATATAAAAAGAAATAATATTGTTAATTAATCCTTTGAAAAATTAATTTTTTGATGAATTTTTGAAATTTTTCAACAATTTAGATTTTGTATTTTTTTTTTAATTTTCTGAATTATAATGAAACGGTGTAAACTATATTTTCTTGAATAGCTTACATTAATCTGCCAATGTATAAAAGTCTATGTAATTTCGTTGATAATTTATAAACTATGTACGAGCAGATTTCATGGTAATGTGAATATCAAATAAACCCACATTAATTGAAAAGAACATCATAAAAATAAAAAATTAAGCATACTTACATATCTATAGTTTTTCTAATAGTTTGACGGACAAAATAAAAACGGTTTATGTGACCTTTCCTTTTTTTAATAACACCATCGTATTGTTATGAATCCCAAAAATATTGTAATGATAAAACATTTTGTTTTATTTAATCAAGTAACAAAATAATATTAATTTCAAATTCTTATGCTTATGCAATGTCCAATATCATAAAATCAAATAATTTAAATTAGGAAAAACAATGACTTTCTATAAAATGACATAAACAAATGTCCTTACCAGGTATTAATTGGGTATTAAAAAGCATTGCCAGCCTTATAAATCTACAAAACTGCCAATATAGCAGAACATGTATATTAACTTTGCTTTACAACATAAATGAGTTAGTTAAATTAGTATAAGATAATACAAGATAATAATATACAATAAGATAGATAATATTATACAAAATATTTAAATTTAAACCAAACCATCATTAATAGCAAGAACTATAAAGAAAAATATACAACAATAAAAATACAATTATATATATACTTATATATGTGTATCTATGTAAATATTTTTCATACAACAGATTTTAGAATATCAAACGTCTACTGTACATAAAAATTTTACAAAAATCAAATTTTTATTTCATAATTATAAAAAGACAAGTACCTACTACTCTTACCTATATATATATAAATATTTTCTTCTTAAAAATGAAATTTACATTAAAAATAAAACAAAAAAAATGTGTAAAAACTTTGTACACAGAAACCCGAAAACAACAACTCAATAACTCAACTTACTTGTATATGAAAAAAGCGTTATTATTATTTTTTTGCCTTATTTGTCAATGTGGTAGAATGTTGCTATTATAAATGTAATATTTGTTTTGCTATTTTATATAAATATGAGAAAATATTACAATTTTTTATTATTAAATTTTCTAATATAAATTTTTTTCCCTCTTATTTCATTTCTCGATTTCTGGAAACCGAACATCTGCTATATTGTTTGTTGTTCTTCGAAAAAAAAATCACAAAAAACTTCGAAACCACAAAAAACAAAACACATAAAAAATAATTTTTTAGCGAAATTCATGCCAGAAGAAAAGCCACCACAAAATCCTTATTATATGATGCCACCACCACCACCACAACCACAACCTGGACAAGCAGCCCCAGCAGCTCCAGCACCAGCTGCAGGTACACGAAAACTCGTATCTGGTTCGTTTGTAGAATAAAAAAATTTCAGAATTACTTAAATATTAATTTATTATTGTGTTTTTTTAATTTTGAAAAAAAAAATTTAAATTTAAAAAAAAATTGATAATGTAATGAACAAAAAAAATAAGAAATTATATGAGATTATCAAAAATTAACTAACTATTAAAAATAAAAGGAAAAGGTAAAATCAAATAATATCAATGAAAATAAAAAAAAATACTAGATTATGAAAGAAATCATAAAAATATTATAAAAAAAGAATTAATAATTATGTTTGTATTTTTAAATTGTACTAATAAAAACCACTAAAAAGGGAGTAATGAAAAAAAAAAACAAATACCATTATAAAAAAATTAAGTAAATAAAGATGTTCGTTCATTAATTTGAACAAGCCTTTTTTTCAGTGAAAATAATTTTTCCTGAATTTGAAAATTTTATCTTCATTTTATTTTTATCAGCCATTTAAAGGCTTCGCGGATCCTTTCCGTAAAAAAAGTCAGAATTATTAAAATTATTTGTAATTGATTGATAGAAATACAAACATGTTCATACAAAATTTCCTAATGTCAATTTTTTGAAAGTCATCCTATATACTTATAACGGAAATGAGAGTCTCTCTTTTTTAAACTATACATTTATGTTTACATACATAAATTATGCTCCTGTCCTGTTGTGCTTACACATATTAATTTATATTAGATTTATTCGCATCGCCAAAAATCTACTTGTGTACTTTTAATTTTATTATTATACGTACTATATTATGTACAGTAATCTAATAATAAAACGGTCATAATTAAAATTCATAATTTTCAATTTCTATTCAAAATAATTTTAAATTTTATATGTTGAGTAGGCTACTAGGCCTGGGATTATAAAAGAAAATTTCTATATTTATTGTATACTAAAATCTTCTGGCTATAATTCAGTTACATACGAGTATATTATTTCAGTTGTATATATATAGTGGAGAATATTAAAAAATAATTATTTTTGTTATTGAAAATTAATAAATAAATAAAACATAATTTAAATAAAATTCGTATATTTCCGTAATTTTACAAATAATAAAGAAAAAATAAAAAAGTATTTTATTAATATAAAATAAATTATATTCCTATATTGAAAATTATCATAAACATTAAAAGAAAAAGACATCCTAAAAGGCAAAATAACAACTTATACCGTTCATTTCATTCCTGCGACTAATAACACATACATATAGTTGCAAATAACAAAAGAAAAAAAATTAAATTAAATATAAAATTTTATTGTTAAAAATTACGAAAGGATATATATATATATATAAAAATTAAGAAATGGATAGCATAAAAACTATTACGTACATAAATATAAAAATAAAAAAAAGAGAAAAAAGTGTAAGTTCAATAATTTAATAAAATTTCAGGCTGAATGAATCTATCTCCCCCCTCCCCCTTAACCTATATTTCTTATTTCAATCTATAGTATATAATAAATAATACCTATTATTAGCAAAATAACTTATTATTACGAAAATTTTAAATTCAAAAGAAAAAATAAAAGGAAAATAAATAAAATTTATTAATATTTCTTCTTTATAATAAATTTGTTTGTAAAATATATTGTATAAAAAAAAAATGAAAAAAGAATGTAAAACAAAATAACTTTCAATCTTAACAATAAAAATTAATAAAATATTTCAAAACAAATTTAAAATTAATAATAATTCCTGATTTTGTAATTTCTTCCTCCAAATGATTGTTTTTAATTAATTAATTTTAATAGATTTTTATTAAATTTTCTTTTTAGCAATATTTATAGGTATAGAAAATGTAAAATGAGATTCATTATGCCTGCAGCTTTTAGTATATTAAAAATTATAAAAGTATATAATTTGCAAAAACTTTAAAAAAAATTTTTAATTACTGTGCAAAATTATTTTGTAAATGTGTATTTATATTTTAAAGAAAAATATTTTATTATACATATATTTAAATATATGTATATTTACATATACATATGTATATATGAATTTGCTAATACATATACATATTATTGTTTTTAATGTCAAATTTTATTTTAAAAATTATCATTGTTAACAAAAAATTCTATAAGAAATTTATTTAAATATTAACTATTATTATTATTAATATTATTCATTATTATTAAATATAATTATTATAATATTGATTTAAGCTGAAAATTAAACACATTAAAATATATAATGTAGTAGAATAAAAAAAAAATATTTAAATTGTGTTTTATTGAATATTTCTACTTTTATTTTTAAATTTTATTTAATATATTCTCATAAAATATAATTTTTATTGCCCTTTTTTTCAGCTAAACAAATTGTACTTATTTATAATAATATGTGTATGTATATGCATATTTACAACGAAATATGAAATTAAAAATTCATATAAGTAATTTTCTTTTCTTTTTTCAAAAAAATTGAAATGAGATTTATGCGTATTATGGCGTATTATGGTACATAGTGCTTTTAAAAATATTGTAGAAATATTCATTTTATGAATCCAATATGGGCTTTATATTATATATATGTATATACATAGGTTTTCTGAGATTATGTTACTTTTTGTATTGTGAATAGCATGGATTGTGAATAGCATAAATATAAATCTTTTTTTTTTAATTTTTTTAAGTTCTTATGAGTTTTTTTGGTAAAGAACTGATGAATTGACAATTTTATATAAATAGGAAGGGCAAAGTTTTATATAAATTCAAGTTTCCACATTTGATGATGGGGTTGTATTATGTAACACAGTTTATATTTTGAATTCCATTACATGTTACTTATGCTTTTTTGGTATAATATCTTAATATTTCTTATATACAATTTTTCTTTAAATCCTAGTTTTCCCATAAAAAGGATGGAATTCATGAAAAAAAACCAATAAATATTGAAAAAGTAATCTACTTTATACACGATATCATAAAATGTATCTAATATTTTTCCCATTAATATACTCGTATGTATGTACTACAAAAAACTGATTTAATAGTATTTTTGGAATGAATACTTTTGAAATTTCGGAGCCATAGTCGCTCAAAATAAAATTCAATTAATTTTCACAATAAAACTTTCAGAGTTAGATTATTTTTCTTCTTTCGCTTAAAATTTTGTGATCTTTTTCATAATTTTATTTATTCTTGCACTCATACATAAAACAAAATTAATTTAAAATACAATAATAATTACATCAAGTTTATTTAATATAAATTATTATAACAAAAGCTATAAATTAAAATCTACAAACTGAAATAACAGAAATAATGAAAAAATAATATTCAAAAAGAGAGAGTGCCAGAGAAGTTTAAACAAAAAAAGCTATACCTAAAATGTTATGGCATAAAAACATGAAAAATAAAGTTGTATAACAAAGAAAAATAATAAATAAATAAACTTCAAGCAATTTGCAATTTAACTGTTATACATTAAATATAACATAAAAAAAAAACAAATTGAAGAACAAATTTTCAAAGAAACTTAAAAAGAAAAAATGAAAAAACAAAAATGGGAATTAATTATTAAAAAAATTAGATAAAATAAAATTTTCAAAAAAAAAAAAATAAATATAAAAAGTTAATAAAATTTTATAATGTATAAGAATGAAACAATAAATAAAATTATTGAAAAATTTTCAAATTTTGATTATTATAATTTAATTAATTTGTAAACGATAGAAAAATATTTATATATCTACGTATAATTATATAATAATATATTCTGTGTAAATATGATACACATACAAAAAAAAAACAAAATCAAACAAAAAAAATAATAAAAATTATAAAAATAAAAAAAAAATAATAAATTAAATTATGTATGTATTAAAAAATTACTAAAATATTAGAAAAAAATATAAAAATAAAATAAAAGAAAATAATTTATTTTTTTGTATAAATTAAATATTATAAATTAAAAAAAAAAACATTAATAAATTAGGCCCATAGTACGAAAAAAATGTATAACACATTTAAAAAACAATTAATAAAAATGATAATAGAGAATTTTAATTATTTTATTAATTTACAGAATAAAAAATAAATATACATGTATACAGCACTTATATATATATATATATTTATGTATATATGTGTATGTATATAAAAATTGTTTCATATACATATATTAAATTTAATATAATAAATATTTAATTTACATTGTGCTTGGGAGTCTTATATATTGTAAATTTAATTATATAAAATTTTTAATAATATATAAATTCGTTATATTTATATCTATTTATTGATTATTTAGTGTTTTTCAAAACAAAATATGATAATAAAATTTAAAAAAAAAAAACACTAGAGAAAAATGGAAAAAATTTATTAAATTTACCCCAAAAAAAAAAAAATTATAAAATAAATAAATGTTATGAACGCGAACAATTTAAGCATGTCATGTAAAACCTTATTATTATGTCGTATGTTTTGTGATTAATTAAAAAAAAAAAACTGTTTAACTATACAAAAAAAAAATATTATATAAATAAATAATGTTTAATCGAAATTAATAAAAAATAACGAAAGCAATAAAATTTATTCTTTGCTTTTACAAAAAAAAAAATATAACAAAAAATTTAATTTTATAAAAATTCAAAAACACAAATGAAATATTGACAAGACAAAGTCGTTTCCTAAAAAAAAAACCAAAAAAATTAAATAAAAAAACAAAAAGCTAAAATTGCCAATAGTAAAAAATATTAAAATTATAGTTATTAATAAAAATTTAGTAAATGTTTAAATTTATTTTTTCTTATTAAAATTCAATTTATTTTAATTTAAAAAAGAAACAATAATATACATAATATGAATGTGTAAACATACATATGTATATGTAAATATATAAATTTTATATTTTAATATAAATTATACATTGAAACAGTTGATAAAACAAAGAGAAAAACACCACAATAAATAAATTTTATTTATTCAACACACGTGCATATTATACTATAATGGAATATAAACTAGCATAATTATTATAACTTATTGAGAAAGAGTCAAGTTATATTTGGAGTAGACTTATAGCTGCGGTATTACTATTTCAGTTTATAATCATAAGAATGAAGTACAGAAAGCTCATAATTAATACTAATAAATGAACAAATTAAAATACAAAATTATATATATATATATATAATATTATATATATATCATAAATTTAATTTACGACAGAATTCTGTCATCTGTCATTTTCAAGCTCTCGAGTTTTCAAATGTTTTTAATTCAACAATTCAAGTAAAATAAGCAAAATTTTTTGATAGACAAAGCCGGTCATTAAGTCAATAAATGTTTATATGAACAAAAAATAAGCTTCTTTTACTCTTGAATTTGCCATATAAACAGGTCATCGATCAAAATTCAGATCTAATATCAATTAAGCTTATATATACAGCAATATCATTTTATTTAATTCTGAATATATGTGAAATTAACATTAGATCTACTTTTTGGTAAAATGACCTACAATATATTAAATATCGTACCTATTTTCGAATAATTTGAATATATATTATATTTTAATAAGTAAATGAAATTGATTTTAATATATAGTACATACACTTACATTTGAAGCATTATTTTTGTTATATTAAATTAATTTAAATAGAAATAGAGTGACTGTACTAATGTCAACTTCAATTTAAAGTCATAAGTGTTATACACCATATTATAATTATTATATAAATGAATATTCTAAAACTTATTTCAATTTAATTAATATTATTTTGATTTTATTAATTTACTCCAAATATATTTATATTATATTTAATATTCCATATTAATTTTTGATGAAATATTCCATATTTTTTTAATTAAATTAATGAAAAATGTGCGTTTCAATATTTTTTCTTGAAATTTTTGAGGAGGAATTCAGAATTATTCTCTTATTGTTAAATCAACATTTTCGCAGGTGCTTATGTAAATATTTTTTTATCTTATTCATTTATTTATCACATATTTATACAAATTCATTTATTTCAATATATTTAAATTAGATCCAATTAAATAAAAAATATTAAAAATAAAGGCAAAACTGAAATTTTTATTTAAAAAAATCTTTCAATATTCTTTTAAATATAACAGTTTCTTTTCTCATTATTTTCATTTTTTCTCTTTTAATTTTAGATTTTATTAAAAATGAAAAAGTTTTTACAAACCCTTACTGATATTTGAAAGCAAAAACAAAAATATAACAGTAAAATTTGTAAATATTTTGAAACATTTTTTGTAAAATCAATTTAATTATAGTTATACATATATGTATAATAAAAATATAATATAGCTAAATGTAATAAAATAAATATAGAATTTATTAAAAATAAAACAAGTTAAAGTTTCAAAATAAAAATAACATAATATTATTATTTATTTAATCAGAAGAAAGGGAAATCAAATAAAATTATTATATTTAATTATATATATGAATAAAAATAACAAATTATCTAGAAGTTTTAAGGTCTGTATCAAAAATATCTCATTAAAAAAGAAAACGAAAAATTAAACGAGACGAAAAAAAAAACAAAAATTCAAAACGAAAGTAAGTATATTTGTATATAGAGTAAAATTATATCAAACTCTAATAAAATATATTATAAAATTTAATTAAAAACATTAATTATATATATATACATAAAAATGGAAATCTAGATAAATTACAAAGAAACTCTTATAGTATTGTATATACACATTTGCATGCTATATATTTGAAATTATAAATAATATAAAATTAAAAATAAATTTAAATAATGATAAAAAAAGAAATAAAAAAAAAACAAATTTTGAAAAAATTGTAAAACATCATAATATAAATACAAAACAACAAAAGACAAAAATAAAAAACAAATAAAAATATTATAAATGCACCTATTAAAAAACAAGACAAAAGATTAATTTAGTTTCATTTCAAATTTTGAGCATTTGAGCACATATTGAGCATTTGTGAGTAGTTGAATTCTCAATTTTGAGCATTTGAGAACATTTTGAGCTTTTTAAATTTTATACATGCCCTTATTATGCATATACCCAAAAGTTTTTCCTTATGAATCCGTTTTATAAGTAAACTACTACAAAGAGTTACGATGAAAATTTTCTTTAATATACAGGGTGTCTGAGACTCAATAAAACTTCGAAGCATAGTGATAGAATACGTTTCGATGAACAAAACTCACTTGGTGACTTTTTGGTTTTTGAGCCCACCATCTTGTTTACAAAACTTTTTTATTATAGAAACAGTAAAAATGATTAAATTTCCCTTTAAAATTATTGTATTTCTTAAAATACCCAAATTTAAATTGTGGCAAATTAATTCAAAATATGTGATGTGTACTTATGTATTGTCATAACACAAAAAATTATTGACAATAAGTAACAATAAACTCTCGAATTTATTAATGTTAATGAGATAGTTTTCTTTTTCTAGTTATAATTTTCCTCCTTTTTCAATAATACAAAATATGTATGAAGGCAACAATTACTGTTATAACAGTTTAAAAAAATTTTAATTTTTTAATTTAAAACTTAACGTAACAGTTTTTGAAACAAATTATTCAGATATTTTTAAGGTTGAGTATACCAAATGAAAAAGTGAATTGGATATTAAACGGAACGAAATGATATTTCAATTTCAAAATCATATGTCAAAAACATTATCATATGGAATTGAAACATTGCTGTCACCAGGAAATGCTTATATACATTTTTATTGTGAACAGAACAGAAAAATATATTAAAAGCTAATTTGATGTAACATCAAATACATAGTAGGAAAGAAAAAATTAATTGAATAATTTGAAATTATAGTGACTAAAGTTAGATAAAAAGATTATGTATAAAAAATACTCAACGAAAATTGTGTAATAAAAGATTAAAACATATTTTTTATTTAATTAAAACATTTTTTCTGCTAATTTTGAAAGGGGAGCAAAACTAATAAAGGAAAGTTAAGGAAACTCTTTGTTTGCAACTTGTAAATTTCTTTTATAGTTCATATATTAAAGAAGGAATATAATGCCATTTATATCAAAAGATTGGCGATCGCCAGGTGAAGCCTGGGTAAAATTAGAGGATGGAAATTGGGAAAAATTAAAAGTATTAGAATGTGGAAAACGTAAAAGGTAAAAATTTTTATAATTACGTTGAACGTCCTTAAAAAATTTTTTTTCTGCACAAAATCAAATTGTAATTGTTATATATCCATACATATATAATATTTATGTACATTTATACATCAATATGGATATATGCACATAAATCCAAATTACAAGAAAAAAACAAGGAAATTTCCAACCATTCTAAAAATATAAAAATAAATTTATATACATATGGTAAATTTTATTAATAGCAAAAAAAGCAAATTGCAAAATAAAACATTTCATTTCTTCAAAAGTAAAGTTGTAACGCAATAATCGAGAAAAAATAATGCGAAAAATATCATAAAAAAGGCTTTCGTAGTGTGTATTAAAGTGTTTTTGTTTACTATACACCATATGATTTTGTTGTGTGTGTTTGTTAACCCTATAGACTCTATAGTTTGAATGGAAAAAAAAAGTTCGTCGTATACAAAACACAAACACATATACAGCTATGTATATAATGGAAAATAATATGTAATGCAATTTGTGCAGAATGCAGATGGATAATAATGCATTTGAAAGAAAAATTAAAAAATTTCTGTTGTTTTAAAAATAATTTTTTGAAAATATTACAATGAATTAGTGTAAAAATTCTAGGAAAGAATACTTATATATTTTAGCCCAAATATACTCTGTGTATTGCTAGTTTCAAAAAATTATTTGTTTTATAGGTATAGGTAGATAATTACAACAGATTTTTATTTTCCCTATACTTATAATATTCATTTTTTAACAATTTATTTCGACTCATTTCGAAATATAAGGTAGTTTTAGACAAAGGAATTATTAGTCAATTTTTAAAATTTTTCTGCGCAAGTATAGTAAATTATTATTTAAAAGTTGTTTTTATAATATTATATTGAAATAGAATGTAAATTCAATTATGAATATTCATTTATAAAACTTCAATAAGCAAAATTACTGAAATAAATTAATGCAGAATACTTTTTAATGAACTTTCAAAAAAAATCTGAATTCTACAATATTTATAGGAAAAATTATATTTAAATTATAATCAATAATATTTGGGTAATTTTGAACTGGTGTTAAACTGGTTAAAGTTTAAATTATATAATACAAATATATAACATATTTCTACACTTATATTCATACACTTATGTAGATATATAACCGATAGATTAAACAAAGTCATTGTACCTATAAGTCCAAACTTAATGTAAGACACAAAAAAAAATTGCAATTATTGAAAGTAAAAGTGAGGAATAATTACATATTAATGCTTTTATTATTATGTATTTTGAGTTTTGAAAAATAGTTACACGCAATTTAACGTGACCGTTATTATGGAAGCGTTTTACTTAAAACATAATTATATTTAAATATTTTTATATCATGTAGTTTTCTAATTCCTTGTTTAACATTAAGTAAAACATAAAACACATTTACATAAATTAATTTAGTTGTATTGTGAATAATGAAATATTTCTAATTTCTTTAACAAAGGATTCCTTCAACATCAGAAGATGATGAAAATACGGATGTAACAGCTGTACCTCCGCACTGTCATATTACAATACGATGTACAAAGGAGATTGCAGGGTTTAATGGTTTAGGAGATGCTGTTCAACGGCTTGATTTTCGCAGTTCTGTAAGAGATAGAAGACGTTTCCATTACATATGTACTTTGCTAGGTTTAATTGTAACAGGGAAAGGTATTGCATCTTTACCAGGAAGTGCTCAGCGATTATTACTGCAAATGGTAGAGGAAGTTGCTTCACATGGTAAGTTTTGTTATTTACTAGCAAAAATCAAAAAACCAAACCAAACAATTTTAAATTTTAATGTTCATAGCTAAAAACAATTCTAAAATTTGACTTATTTTAAATGCAAAAATAATTTTAAAAATTTATTGTTCTAAATGGGTATACATATTTAAATACCTCATTTTTTAGTCAAATAAAGTGACAAAAGGCTAATTGAAAAATCTATTTTTTTTAGTAAGTGATAGTCAACAAAATATTAATGTTCTTCGTGGACTAGTTATTCAACTTCAACAAATTGTCAACCAAGAAAATCAAAAATGTTGGGGCAAGCCTTTAGGGAGTCAAAACCTGTGGTTAGAGCATAAACAAACAATTGAAAGGATTCAATCAATGACAAGTCAAATCCAAATAACGGTAGTAAGTATTTCTAATAAATCTTTAAAATTTATAAAAAAATTTTAAAATGAAAAATTATTAAATATATTTTAGCCGGACTCTTCTATACGCCCGAGGATGACTGATTTACCAGAAGAATGTATTAGAGAAATAATATTAAGAATAGCCGACTATAGAGATTTAGAAGTAAATTAAATTAATCTTTATACATATGCATTTACAAGTAAGTAAAATATTAAAATTTTTTTTAAAGGCTACCTCCAAAGCTTGGAATGTGATGTCTGCCTTAGTTAACGAACAACGCATTTGGCGTGAACTTACTGGTTTTCACTTTAATAAAAATCAAGTTAATTTTATATTAGATAAAAATAAATCTCGTATAATTAACGATGCAAAAGATTGGAAAAAAGTATTCCATGATTTAAGAAAAGCCTATGGCGAACGAGAAGATCATCAATTCATAGAAATTTTGTCTCTTTGTCGTTTCTGTTGCTGTTTATTTTGGCCATCAGATGGGCATCCGTGTATTATTGATCAATGTCCTGATTTAAAACAACGGCTTACAGAAGCGGGAGAAGATATAAAGCTTTCACAGCCAGTACCTCCAGCTCAATTTTTAAAGTTTTTCTCATTATAAAATTATAACGATACATAAAACTCATCACCAATCACTATTATTTAATTTAATTTTTAAGGATAAATTATATATATATATTTTTATTAATTATAATATAATTATGAAAATTTATTAAAATTGGTTGTAGCAATTTTTATTGAGTGAATTTGCTTGATAAAAACATTGCTAAAATTTAAAAACGCGAAAAAAACCATTTAATGTCGATATTAAACAATACATGCAATATTTCTGAAGCTAAAGGCAAAAGAAAAATTAAAAGATTAAACGTTAATTTTTTAAAGTCTTTTTGTTGATTTAAAAACTTTTCATTCTATTATGTAATTTTTAAAGATTATTTTAAATTTATTAAGCGTAAAAGAATGGTATAGAAGTTTAAAGTTTGTTAATTATTTGATTTAAAGTTTTTCTTGGACTGAATGCTCGAAATGAATTCAACCAATAATTTGTTGTAAAACTAGTGCAAATATAACTTTTAAATTTATATTTGCAAAACTATTTTAAAAAATATTTTTAAAAACATTGAGAGCAATGAAAATTAATATATTATGTAGATGAATCTGATTGTTGCTTATCTAAACGTTGGATTTAAGCTTATGTTTCAATCTATGTGATGCAGAATGTTAATATTGATCACTAACGCAATATCTGCTTAATAAAGATTGAAGCGAAAATCCTATAAAATGTGTATATATGTATACATATTATGTACATATGTATTACATTATGTGTGTAATATAAATAAAACTTAAAATATATATTTAACTTTGCGTTTTTTTTGTTTGTGTTTTCATGTTAAATTGAAATCTTGGACTTTTGATCCGAATGAGCTAAGTAAACAATTTTAATTTTGCTTTCTTTCCTTTCTACTTTCTTGAAGTCAAAGAAGGCGCTGCAATCTGCAACATTGTCAATGATCACAATATGTGTTTGAATAAGTTGCATTACACTATTACAGTATGAGTTGAGCTTCAAATATGTTTTCATTATAAAAATTTTAGGTATTAACATACATACTTACATAAATACATGCATATCTGTAATCCACACTTTAGTCACACCTAGGTAACTATAAATTAGGTGATTGAAATTAATTTTATCTACTACTGTCTAAGAAATAAATTTTAATTTACTAAAACTGACACAAGTAACTTTTTGAAGCCAATGAATTTGTGAAAACTAATTTTAAACAATTTTTCTTATAGGATCACTTAACTATAAAACATTAAACTATTTGATAACGTTAACTCCATTTAACGTTTACTTTTATTTTTTTCTAATTTGAAATTCATTAAATACACCCTGTAAACAAAAATTTCAAAAGACCGCCATTGTCTAACCAAAATAAGCAGCTGTCATAGAATTTGTAATTTGAGTGACGGTTTAAAGTTTAGGAAAAATTGTTACGTAGCGTATACGTTTATAGGGAATGTTGCATATTTTGCATTCTTAAAAAAGATATTACATACATGATCATTTCAAAAACATACGAACAATGTGGGAATTGAATGAGCTCTTTGCAGCACCAAATTAATATTTTATGTGAAATTATTTATTTTATAAAAGTCCTATTTAAGAATTTAATAGAAAACGATCCATTTTGAATTAATGAAAACTTGACAGCATCGCTCTGACACATGTTTGATTTAGAATAGAAGGTCTTTTCGATTACTTGAAATGTAAAATTAGAAATAAACATAAAAAAATTGCAACACTATGCACAATGTTTTATAACGCAGAGTTATCAACTCAAGAAAATTTAACAGTGTTTCATAATTCAGTAAAAGTTAATTTTAATTATTCATAAAACAGTGTTGTTTGCTAACATTTGAGTGAGATTACAAATTTCCTTAGCCTTACGTGCCTTTACACATCAGATTAAGTCCTGGATTAAATTAAATTTGAAGAAAATTCGATATGAAATCATTTCAATTTGCCTCATAGAATTTTGACAATTTTGGATAAGTGATATGTTGTGTTCAATAAAAATGTGAAATATGTTTATAAGAGGGGATTGTTTGACAGAATTCTTAAATAACAGCAAAAATTTAAATTGAAATTAATAATTTTTTAACGAAAATGTAAGGGAAAATATTTGAATATAAGCAAAAACAATTTAAGTTTCTCCGATCATGGTTCAGTTTAATTTGGTGCAAAAAGTTTTTGCATATGCTTGCAAAAGAAAGGTAACAGTACAGTTACAATACAAACATTTAATTTTTTTTGAGGTCTTTAATGACAGTTATGCAAATATGTTTATAATCATGTGGCAAAACGTTTGTAGCAACATTACTAGTTTGTTGATTGCGTGCATGAACAACGACTGAGTTTAATGTAATTTTGTAAAGAAGTACGAGGGAGTGAAGGATATATATAAAAATGGAGTGTTATTTTTCAATTTAAGTTTATTTAAAGTAAATTTATATAAAATTTGGCTTTTTAACTAAGTTTATTAATTATAAAATATTAATTATATTGACATTCTTATGTTTAAAGTGTTAAACAGTGTTGTATTGAAAATTATTATTTAAGAAAAAAAAAGTGGTGCGGTTACGGGCTTGGATCTCAAAAACTCTTAAATTTTTGAAAAACAAAAAAAAAATTGAGAATATATAAAAATATAGTTGTTAATTTTAGGTAAGTTTCTAAATGGGAAAATAAAAAAAAGTTTTAATAATAATGGTAATCCGAAACGCAATGGCTGTTTCATGAAAAGTTCAGCCCCATTTGAATTATAATGCCTGTGTGCCTAATTGCAAGGATACTAATTTTGTAATACATATATTTAAATATTCATTTAATTATATGTAAATCTAATTATAAATCATACATCACACCACTTTAAAGGGATTAAACCTTTGGATATAGTTCAACCTATAACGAATGAACTCGCCAAGGATTGGATATATAGAGTTATAAGTTGTAAAACCTTATACAAGCGTCCGAAAGTACGCTCGTGTAAGTTTTGGCTGAGTTCAATAAATGATTTGCGTTTTGGCATAGAGGAAAGTTATTTTATTAATGAATGAGGTGTTTGACAAAAAATAAATTTTGCTTTGTTGATCAAAAAATATATGTACATATTTATAAAAACTGAATTATGTTATTTATAAAACAAATTTCTAATAAGTTTAAAACACGAATTTATAATAATTTGCCGAAATTAAAATTTGACATAGGTTCGACTTATATATATGTATAAAAACGAACTTATAAATATATACATACGTATATTTTATATATATATATATATATATAAATATATACATATACGTATATTCGAATATGTACATATCGAAGTTAGGTATGATTATACATTTGTAATGGATGTACACACGTATATACTATTCGCATTTGCATGTAGGTACATATGTATAATTATACATGCATATACAAATAATATATATGTTCTTATATATGAAATATATGGATTATATACATATATACATAGGAACGCTTTAATAACTATTGCTTATAATGACTACAGAACTCACTCTACTTTTTGGTATGATAGACATAAGTATATATATAGCTACCTACATACATAATATTAATATAAAATATAAATGAGAAACTATTGAAGTAAAAATCAGTGTACGTCAATTGGACGTAAGACAACTTTTATCGATAAATTAAACTTACTAGAAGTCGGTATGGGTTATATTATATGTACATATACAACAGATATTATATTCGTATGTACTTATATCTTATTTTTGCATATACATAATTAATAAATATAATTTATATTATTGCATGAAAAACGAGGCTTTGGTGGGTGTGTAGAAACTTCCTTAGTTAATCAACAATACTGAATAGAGTAATAAATTGAGTAAATATTTCCAATGATACCAACAAATATTCAAAATATGAACTAATATTCAAACCTTAAACTACCTACTTTTTTTTATTTTAATGGTTTTAGTAAGAAATTGGTAAACAAATAGAGCTTAAAATTTTAAGCCTACTAATTCCATAAAATAACCTTCAGAATAATTAGTAATACGAGCATTATATATGTATAAAGAAAAAAACTTAAATTTATAATTTTTTAAATATATTTCAGAGTATTTTTTTAAAATGGCTAACGTGATCGAAGATCCTGTAAGTAATAAGGATTCATCTGAAGAATTAAGTGATGCAAGCAATATAAATAATAGTTCCTCAAATATTTCTAATACGAAGGATAGCATGATTCTAAACGATAACATAAATGAAAATGGTGTGGAACCAAATGAAAAGTTTACTGAAGAGGAATCGAAAGTTTTAGAAAATTCCAACAATGAAAATACAGTTCTAGGTAGTATAAATACTCAATTAGAATTTGGTTTGCCTGATAAACCTGAACAAAAGGAAGAAAATAGTGAAAACTCAATTAGCGTGAACCAAGTTGTAGAGACAAATAAAGATTGTGATTCAAATAATTGCGAAACAAGTAAAATAACAGAAACTTCAAATGCCGATGAAAACCTTGGAGACAATGAATTGAAATCTCAAAACGATAATAGTACACCATTTAATGATGATAATAAAGTAGGATCTGAAAGTAATAGTGCTGAAGAACCAATTTCTTCAAATGAAAATCATCAAAATGGGAAATGTGATGATGAAGGTTTGTCAAAGAGCGAATTTGTTGAGTTAAAACAAAACGATTTGCCAATCGAAGAAAAAGCATTAGAGGAAGCTTCAAAAATCGATAAACAAACCTCTAATAAAGAATCAGGCAAAGGTAACGTAATTGGAAAAAAATTTAAATAAAAGTTACGTAGTTTTACAATTGAAAACTCATAAGATGTTGGTTTCTTTTTTAAAATTAAAGTTTTGAACAATTACATTATTATATTTAGACTTTGCATTGTAATGGATGTTTATTTCAGTATTCACATATAATTTTAATATAATTATTTTGAAAAATTACTTCACTTTACTCACAAAATATATTCAAAAACTGTTTTTTTTCTTCTAGAAGGTAATTCAGACAATGCTGTAACTGTTATAGATTCTGACGATGATGAAGATCCTTTAAAAGGAATACCAGGAGAAGCTGAATATAAAATGAGCAACGTTGTAGTACCTAAAACGCTGGAGTGTAACACTTATGTAATACAATCAGATTCAGATTCTGAGGAACAAGTTTCCAATAATCAAAACGAAAAGACATCTAAAGTGCAGCAGAATAATAATGATGATGATGATGATGACGTTGTTTTAATTGAAGATGATTATGACAAGCCAAATGTGACACCAAATTTAAAATCAAAGCTTAATGAAGACATATCGGAACTAGATGAAGATTTACAACCTCCCCATAAAAGATCGAAAATGATATCAATTACTGATCCAATTTCTTTATCTGGATCATCACCAGTCGGAAAATTAACCATTAAAGATGCAAGATCTCTTTCTGAAATGAAAGTTTTAAACTCTTTTCAATCTTATTTGCCAAATAGTGGAATGATTACGTCGTCATCGAATTCATTTGCAAATAAAGTTGGAAAACCAGGGCCTTATCCTATTGCCATAAGTCCGAACGTGGCATCGTCAGGCCAATTCAATCAATTGCCGAAAATTGGACCGGCTTCTGCTGTAGCACATTCAGGAACTGCACCTATATTAGGAACTAACCCAAATTTGCTTCCTGCTTTGACAGACGATATGTTTGTTTTGGAAGCGCCTTCATTTATTGTACCTTACATATATGAAAAACCTCCAGTTACGAACTTAAAGGATACTCTCGTAAAAATAAAAACGGAGAGCAATATGCCAGAAAAAACTGTGACTGATGAAACAGCGTCAGAGCTTGAAAAATTAGCGCAAATTAAAGGTGATAATTTAGAAAATACGGGAACTAAATCTAGTAAACCTAAAAGGAAAGCTAAAAATCAGTCAGGGGACGATTCATGGGATGAATCAGATGACACTGACGATGATGATTCTGGTAGCGAAAGTAGAACTAAAGTTCTCATAAAAGATGCTGAAACTGATATAAACTTAATTAAGCAAGTTATTGCTCCTCCAGAAAAAATTATAGCACCAACAGCTGACGTAGAGAAAAAGAGCGATTTATATTTTGAAAGTCCTCTTGGTAGATTTTTTATTGACATTGGGATAGATCTTGTTCAAGAGTACGTACAAGCAGATTTGTTGAAAATACAAAAGCGAAAGTTACGCAAAGTAGTAGAAAGTAAAGAATTAAATGAAGTAGAAATTTCTATTACAGCTCTTAGTAAAAACTTGGAAGCTAGTCGAAAAAGGAACGCTCAATTTCATTTTGATTTAAAACGTTGTGAGTTCTGTAACTTTAAAACGGAATCTGCATTATCAATGGCTCACCATTATGAAACACCTCACATGGAAAAAAATATGTATAAATGTAATTTCTGTTCATATGAAGTTAGACAAACACAGGACATTCTTTTCCATATGGAAGCCGTTCATAATATTAAGGGTCGTTTGGAAAAAGCGCTTTCCTATCATCAGTGTCCTAACTGCCCGTTTGAAGATAATGGAAGATCTAAGATAGCACGTCATCAACCAGTGTGTATTAAGAAATTCCGTCCTGAAGTGAACTTGTGTCCTCCTAATGACTGGGAGGCTCCAGCAAAAATTCCCAAAATCAAACCAAAACATGGTTTGGTAGGAACAGCTACTGCGTACCAAGTAAGAATTCTAAATTTAATTATTTGAACCAAAAATAATGAAAACAATTTTTCATAAAGGCAATGGCTGCTCAAGCTGCTGCTCAGAAAGCAGCTCTAGCTACATTACAACAACAACAGCAAGCTGCTCGCAATTTACTTGTGTCTAATAACTCAAATAGAAGCAGAAAACCTCAACCACAAAAAATTCCTCCCGTTCGACCAGCTCAATCGCATGTTGTGCCAAGGCCCTTGCCTATGCCAATGGCAGCTCCACGACAATCGTTGCCTCAAGGAACAGTTTTGGCTAATACGTATAATATTGTAAAAAATAATCCTTTGGTACAGGTAAAATAATCACATTTTTGTAACTTTCAATTATTTTAACTTTTTTTTCTTTGAAGGCCCAAAACCAAAAAAGAATTCCTGGTCAACCAAGTATTTCAATCACACCTTTACCTCGCCAAGTATCAGCCTCTAATCCTTCAGTATCACAAATCAATCCTACAAATATTCCAAAGAACGCTATTAAATCTGGGCCACCTGGAAACAAATCGTCATTTGTTATTTGCGAAATCTGCGATGGATACATAAAAGATTTGGAACAATTGAGGAATCATATGCAATGGATGCATAAAGTTAAAGTATGACAATTTTTTTTTTGTCAAATTACTTTTTATTTATTGTAATTAATAATATTTGCAGATACATCCCAAAATGATCTTTAACAGACCGCCATTAAATTGTCAAAAATGTCAGTTTAGATTTTTTACTGACCAAGGTTTGGAACGACATCTTTTGGGATCTCATGGTTTAGTAACAAGTTCAATGCAAGATGCGGCCAATAAGGGAAAAGATGCAGGACGATGTCCAGTATGCGGGAGGGTATGGCATTATTATACACAAAATTTAAACTAAGATATTTTATTGAGCCAAATTTGTTAAAACTATTAACTATCACTTGAACAATATCTTTATATCTTTTACAGGTATATCAATGGAAACTTTTGAACCATGTATCTCGTGATCATAACATGACATTAAAGCCTGCTCATTTATCATACAAATGTACGGTTTGCACAGCAACATTTGGAATGTATAAAGAATTTGAAAATCATGTGTACACTGCGCACAGTACTGTAGCAAAAAAATCCATTGACATGAAAAAAGGCAACACTAGTAATAGTAACAATAGTATAAATACCCAAAGGCCATCTGGCTCAACATGTAATGATTCTTTATTAAGACCACTAAGAATTAATGACGAAATAACAATAATTCCACAAGGAGCTACGAAAAAACTTTAGGTATTTCTAGTTTAATTCTAGTTTCCCTAGCTTTCAGTATCTTTTAATACCAAAGATATTAATTGTTTTTTCTTTTTAGGAAGGAAATGCTAATTTTTATATGAAGTACGAAAAAATATGTTAAAATTTTGAGAATATAAGATATATGATAAGATAAATATATATTCTTTTATTTGTATTATTTAAGTTGTCTTATTATAATTTTCTTCAGATTTTGAGTGCACAAAAAAAAAAACATTTTTTTTAATTAGTTAAATTTTAATTTATACGAAGTAAGTAAATCGAATTTTAAATTTTAATAATTTTTAAAGAAATCATAAGCTATGTACACAAAGGAAATAAATACAAAAATAAATTTTTTTTTGTTCATAATAAATATTTAAAACAATACTTTTTGAAATTTGTTTTTTAGAAATATTTTTCTCAATTAAGGGTCAATAATTAGCAAACAAATTATAAAGTGTATAAAAATAATATTTTTTAGAGAATTTTTAGTATATGAAATTACTTAATCTTAAAAAAGTTCCGTAATTATATAAATGTAATATAGCCAATTTAATATAACAAATTTAAAGAGAATGATGATTTTTATTGAATTTGCTCATAAAAAATGATAAAGTGAAAGTATAGTGCAGCGTTATTTGGTAATCGCAGTTGGTCCTTTCTTAAAATTTTATTGGTTCTTTATATTTCAAAATTGAATTTAACATTCTACTTAAAATTTAACCTGATTATAAAAACTAAACTACTTGGATTTTCAACAATACCGAAAATGGATACAATACCGTTTACAATACGTTCAAAAATTGCGCCAATTTGCAAAACTGTTTTTTTTATGTCAGTTAAAATGACAGTTTTGTGTCTTCACATTTTGAATATTTCTTAATTTTCAAATTTATCTTTCAATTGACCTTATTTACCAATTCAAATTCAATTACTGAATAAAATAAATTAAGAACAGTTCTACCATTTCCGACCAATGCGTCACATTTTTAATTAATCATTTTCAAATTATATTTTTAAAGAGGACCATTTTCAATAGTTAAATATGCAAATTATACTTTAAATTTGTGTTATGTATGTCTTCGAATAGGTATGTACTTCAAATAGGTTTAACAATTAAATTTTCCAATAATGAGAAATGCTACAAAAGTTCTTTGATTTCAAAATTGTCAATACCAAATTCAGCTTACGAGTTATAATTGGTGAATTGATTATCAAAGCAGTATCACTGCAATTTTGAAGTCAGGGTTTTTAAATTAAGAATAAATTGTGTTTTAATTAAATATAAAATTTTATTATTAATATTAAAGTTTAATTTAAGATACTTTCATATTATTTTTTACCAAATGACTAATAATTATGTATACGAGAATAATTAACTTTGTAGATTTTAATGATCGTGTATGCTAATATGTAATAAAGTGATTATGGATAAATAATTATGTATACTTGTAATATACATATATACAGATGTTCTTGAATGTGGTATAAAAATTTTACGAATGTTTATTATACAAAACTCGTTTAAAAAAAGTTATTGTAAACTTACTCTCGATGAAAAAACAAAACAGAACGAAAGGGTAATTGAAAGTGGTAAAAATAATAAAAAAGGAAAGACTTAAGAGAGAAACCTGACAAAAGTCTATTAAAAATTTCAATTTTCTTCGCATTTTTGTTATTTTGCAAAAAATAATGGATTAATATTTGTTATATGCCATTCATAAGCGTCATTAGTTTTGCAGGAACTAAAAAGACGCTGATACAAAATTGACGAGCTTATTATCATTGTTGAATACTGCAATTATGACACTAAAGGTATACATATTTATATAAAGGAATCAAAAAAATTTATCTTCTTTGAAAATTTTATATTATTGAACGTATAATTTACCATGTCAATAGCCAGTTTGACCTGAAAGGCCTGGGTTTTCGTTATCTGATTAAGAAGAGCTCCTGAATATCGTATTCCTTTCGAATAACAGGAATTGTGTACCGGAACTGTAAAGGCGTTGTAACAACGGTAAAAAAAGTTGTATTAATGGTTTTTCTGCTTTTAGTATAATATGTTAGTTAGCATTAAATTTGCAGGAATTTTAATTGGCGAGACGATGTCCCAGATAAGAAAGCATTTAGTATAACAAAAAAGCATTTCTGCAAATTTCTAATTTGTCTGTTTAACTAAACTTTATATAGAGCATAATTTCAAACTAATTGCAATATTTGCTTGGTTTGTCATGCGAATCGTATCTACTTACATAGGTATATTCGACTTTGTTCTATTTGTGGTTTTTTATCACCCTGTCTAACCAGTAATAAAAGCAAATTTTTTCAAAGAAATTGTAAAATATTTATGGCAGGAAGAAACCATAATACTTATACTTACATATGTATGTAAAACTTGTGTTTAAAATTTTTATATTTTCTTTTAATTTATGACTAAAAAGTGTATTTAATTATAGCGTGCTGACATAATACAATAAAACAAAATAAAAGAGCGCGAATTTTCACTTTTATAATTGTTTTTGTCCTCCAATAATAAATTGACATTTTATTCAGCAGTTAGCACACACAAGTGTTTCATATAAGCTTTCACATCGGTTCCTATATTCTTAATAATTGCTTCACATTGCATAAAATGCATAATCTTAATAATTGCTTCTTAATATAGCATTCATAAAGCGAAATCTGATGAAGTTCTACGGTTTTCGATTTATATAGTAATTTACTCACGAGCACGAAAATATGCAAGTACATATACTTATATACATATATATAATTATACGTATGTACATATGTATGTGCATAATGAATTACATTACCAATTATTTGAAAAAATAGGTTATAAGCAACATAACTCATAGAAGCGAATAGAATCAATTAACTACGCATGTTACAAAAAAAGTCTATTAGAAAATGTTAATTATGTATGTATGCACATATGTATGTAGTATGTACCTTAAGTAATTAAACTTTATTTTTAAAGCATCACATGCTGACATACAGTGCCACACTACGGTTGTTAGTAGAATCTTTAATCATTTGTAATTTTAGTTTAGTACATTATACACATAATAACAAGCATACACGTCATATGCAACTACAATCTTGCATTTTTTTTACTCATTTTTACTTTTACATCATCACGATCATGAAACTTTTTTCGCTTTTCCAGTGATTGCAAGAAATCAAGAAATTTATTTATGTTAAGTATTTTTACAATTTTTATATTTTTATGATGTTTAACATTTATTTTAAGTTGAGGATTAATTAATGTATGTATGTACATATATGTACGTGTTTAAATGTATTTATTATTTTTCTTCGAAATATTATGTAGAAGTAAATATACAGAGTGTGCAAGACCCATAACAAGATGATAAAATTCCTTCACATGAATAAAAGAAACCTAGTGAAATTTTCTTCCTTCTCGAATTAAGAGACTTCTATTAAAAGTTGAAATACAAGTAATTCATAATAAATTATAAATAAACTTGAAAATTGCAATAACATGGAATTAATATACAATTCATCTTATAATTTTGCTGAATTGTGAAACAATAAGGTATAACAGTAATTTTATATTTATGTATGAACGAAAACTTATATTTATAATATTTTTATAATTTACACATCTACCTCTCTCTATCTATATATATACAAATGTATGTATGTATTTTAAGGTAAAAAAAACTTAATTGTTATACTCGTATATTCTTAGCATATACACTTAATTGCAGATATCAACGGTATCAATTTAACTTATTCAATTGTTATTGATATTATTTAAAATTTTAGTAATTTTTTAAAATTTAATTTTTAATTGTTAGAGTTATAAAAAATATTGAGAGTTCATAAAAAATTAATTCTAATTTTAACAATAAATGTTGCTCAACTATTAATTTCATCATCAATAATCATATTTACATCAAACATTGATAACTACATGTTCTTGATATTCGCATAACCGTAGAATCACTTGATTGGTATAACAATAATAATATGGCATAAGTGTGTTTTTGATATCCTTTCAATTTATAGAAAATTTGAACTATTTTCAAAAGAAATTTCATATATCATTCTTTATTTCTTTTTAAGATTTTACAAATATTTTCGATTGTTATTATTGTTAGTATACGTTATGATTGTAACAACATTATACATCTATGTTAAACAGTAAATATTTCCATAATATTACAATTCAAGCATTCTTTATAAGAGTATCGTGATGATAAATATGACACGTTGAATTACGTGTTCATTGAACTCCCCTATAGTTTTTCATTTGCTGCTTCATTTTTTTATTTGTTTCCAGTACAATTATTTTATTTATTTTTTCATGTAGCTATCTATATTTACCATTTTCATATATGCATTCTACAATAAATTTTCCATGAAAAATTTTTTTTCCATTTTTTTGTTTTCTGAACTAAAAGTAAAAAAATGTTGCGTAAGTCTAACAGTACTAAATTGGCTCTGTGTTAATCTAAAATTCAATTTTGTAAATTTCAAGAAATATAAGTAAGCAAGTATATGCGCAAAGTCTTATAGAAATATAAAAAGATACATATATTCCTATATATATATATGTAGGTATATACCTATATCCTTATGGACTATATGTTCTTTTATAAATTCAATCATATCATATTGTATTATTTGTGTAAACAATATATTAAATTTGTATTTTTTCCCTCTTTACGAATTGAAAAATATACACTATATGAATTTAGTTTAGAAATTGGAACCCCAAGCGTAATCAATGGTAAAAAAAAAATTTTTTTTTGTACCATTTTTGGATGGGTAGGAAATTAACGTAATCAAATTAGTATGTATATTAAGATGAAATGAAAACTATGTATTTATTTTTTTTTATAATAAAACGGAAACAAAAATTTCCTCCGTCTAGTCTGTCTAGTTTATTTTTACGGTGCAGTAGTTCAATGCATCCCATTTAGAATAAATGAGCCATTTTGCATCCACCACCTCGTGGCCGACCATCAGATCATCAGTTAGCGTGCGATTGCAATGTACCCAGTTCGGTTAAGGAATCTATCTAGTTGATTGGGAAAAATTTTCCATATCTCGCCTAGCTTTCTCTGCCCCACGTGGCCAGTCAGTCCCTATACAGGGCCGGGTACTGACAATGTTAGTGAAA